AGCCTAGAGAAGTCACATGACTTTGAATCTCCCACTATGTCTCAAATATACCAAGTCTGTAATAGACACACAATAAATGTTCCCTGAATTGAACTAAGTGACTTGTCAAAATTATACAACTAATGAGTGACAAAGGTGAGAATTGAACCCATGTGTCACAACTCTTAAACAAATGTTCCATCAATCACATCAAGTTAATGCAGTATTTGCCTTTCTATAAGTGTCAATGTAGCAATCACTCTCACTGTATGCTCAAAAGTTCTAGGAAAACATACTCCGGATCTCCATCACTTCCCCCAAAAATCTCCCTCTTGTTTCCAACAACATAATTCTCTAATTCCACGTCATACTATCATTTTCTGTTTTCCTCTCATAAGTAAATACCATATCTTGACAATCATAGGGGATACCTATTCAGAAATTAATTGATGGTCATCCAAATGTTCCCTAGCTACCATCAGGTGCTTAGCTTACAGTAATCAGCACTTGAATACTAGGCTCCTACGAAGTCTCCCTGGTCTCCTTGTATGATTTCAATTATTATTGCCAACCTCTATTCAGAAATTAGCAAACCTTTTTATGCTTAGTTTAAAAAAACAATGTTTACTACATCAACATGTCTCAAGTTTGTCCCATTATATTCCCATATCTTCTATATAACCTTAAACTACAAATGTTTTCTTCACCATGCCCAGTACTGGTATTAATTTTCATGTCAATCTCTCACTACATTTTTGTCATCCATTTAACAAATATATATGGAGTAGCTACCATTCCTCACTTCCTAAGCTTTTGCATTCAGGCAATCCAATCTTTTTTTTTCCCCTGAGTGAATAATAGCTCTAGACACCACCAACTCAAAGTTTTCTTTTGCCTTTTTTTTTTTTTTTTTTTTGAGACGGAGTTTTGCTCTTGTTGCCTTCTGGGCTGGAGTGCAATGGTGCAATCTCGGCTCACTGCAACATCCGCCTCCTTGGTTCAAGCAATTCTCCTGCCTCAGCCTCCTGAGTAGCTGGGACCACAGGCATGCGCCACCATGCCCAGCTAATTTTGTATTTTTAGTAGAGACGGGGTTTCTCCATGTTGGTCAGGCCGGTCTCAAACTCCCAACCTCAGGTGATCCGCTCATCTTGGCCTCCCAAAGTGGTGGGATTACAGGCGAGAGCCACTGCGCCTGGCTTTCTGCATTTCTCCACATTCACAGCTCTTTTCATCATTTCCCCAGCACATAGCATCCTTTTCACCCATTGTTGCTGTGATGCATATCTGCACCACATCTTGCACACAGCAAGTTAGCTTTGATTACTCTCAGGCAGAGCTCACACAACTTTCAGACACACGAGATCATCTCTGCCCATCCCACCTAAGACAGAATTCTGTTCTCTCTTGTCATTTAGAGCTTCCTGCTCTCTTCTCTCCATTATTCCTAAAACACTGAGGACCCATTATCCAATTCAAAGCTCCTTTTCTTCCATCACTTTCACATAACTCTGTTCTTAAAACTCTCTAGATCCGTCATGTTGAATACGGTCACCACTGTTCACCTGTGGCTACTGACCAACTGAAACGTGGGTAGTCCAAATGGAGATGTGCTGGAAGTCTAAAATAACACTGGATTTTGGAGGCTTAATATGAAAAGAGGATATAAAATTATCTCATTAAAAATATTAATATTGATTAATGTTGAAATAATATTTTGGACATCTTGAGTTAAATAATTAAAATTAATTTTACCTATTTTTATCTTTTTAATGTGGCTAATAAAAATTTTTTAATGCCATATATGGCTTGCATATGGCCAGCACTACTTTGGGCTCTTCTATTGAGTCATACTTTAATCTTTCCTAACAGTTCAGAATTCTCTTTATCGCTCTTACTAAAGACATTATCTCAATTTTCCCCACTGCTTCCCACATTCCAAACTTGGGATTCTTTTCAATCTACCATTTTCAATAACTTTCTACCCAATTACTTCTATATATCGTATTTCTTTTCATCTGCTAATATAGCTTAGCTTCTACTCCTGCAATCAAATCATAACAAAGTTCCTTTTATCCTTCCTCACGTCTAGTAGAGAATGGTACCTGTCTTAACTCTCAACAAATTTAAAAAAATACTCCCTTTAATTCCCAAAGAAAATACTAATCATTCTCCAAACTGGCCTATCTATACTATGATTTTATTTAAACGGGCTAGTAGTTGTAAAACACTAAAGAAATGTAAAATAATCATTTCAGACCATTGTCACTCATTCACACAAGGAAAACAATTTCTCCTCTTTCTAAAGATTGCATTATTTCTCCAAACTCTTCTAATGTTGAGGTTTCAATCCCATTATTCACAGCAGAGAGCTCTGTCATTTCACTCCAAATACTTTAATACAATTCCCAAAACAGAGTATTTGTTTTCCAACCATTTTTAGCCTGGGTCATGTGTCATCAGTCCCCCAATCGATTTTATGTCTCTCATTTCTGGAATTGCATTTTCTTTTCTCAATGATTTCAGGAAAAACTCAAGATTGGGAAGGTGGATATGAATGACTTGGCCAGGAAGAGTTGGAAGCATGTTTACTGAGAGTGACAGAAGCAGCAGTCACAGATAGGAACTCTCATTCCTCATGCTCTTTGAATGTTTCTTCTGAAGTCTCTGCTCCTTACTACTATGTCCCAGCCTCCCCACTATAAACCCTTTATCTCCTTCCAGCATGAGTGATTACCTTTATTCCAGCACTTTTTCAAAATTCTTCCTCTGTTTAAGTTCTCCTTTCCATCATTCTTGGCAAAAAGATTCCTTGCCTTTACTCCACGAACAACACAAATTTCCCTTTTTTTTTCTTTCAACATTTTCCTCAGATGTTGAAGCTCTGTCATCATTTTATATAAGTTCCAGTTTCCCATCACTCTCAGTATTAAAAACCCTTTAAAGAAAATTACTTCTAGTGTTGAAACTTTTCCTTATTCCCCTAGTATTTTTATTTAATTACCCCCAAATCCTCTCATGACAGAACTCTTACACACACACACTCACTCACACTTGTGGTCCAGTAATACAGTTCACTTTTCATTTGGCCCAGTCCATAGTCCCTTTTCCAGCAGAGAACCCTCTCCTTCTTCATGTTCTCTTTGTATATTCCCGGTATACAACTCTTCCCCCAGTCCTTTCCTCTATTTTTGTTTCATCAATATTTCTCTTCTGTTTTTTCTCTGCTTATTCCTCTCTTTCTCAATGTCTGTTTTTATAGCCAATATACTATATGATCCAGAAAAAAGCCGCCATTATACATATAGGTCGAAATAAGAACTGAGCAGACCTGAAAGGGTGGGACGAATTGCTTGTTGTCCTGGTTTGGGCATATTCCCCTATGTCCCCACCACCAAGAGATCCCCTCTCCATCCTCTCTCTTCAGCTCATCTCTTTCTATATGTGTCTGGTTACACCTTCAGGCCCTAGCTCCTCCAAAGCCATCTCTGTGATGGCCTGCCTTGCTCTCTTTTCTGCCTTAGGACCATCCTATTCTGACAATCATACTAATCTTTTTTTTCTTAAGATCATTATGCTGACTTCTAGGCTCCCACCCTGGGCCCTTTTATCTTGTGGACATTTTTTTCCACCTTCCAGTTGCTGCTCTATCTTTTCCTTATGATCCCCCTTAGAGGATGCTATTCTGACTTCAGTTACTGGGTCTTCCTGATCCAACCAGGTACAAAAAAGAAAACAACAGCTGAATCCCCAAAAAGCAAAATGCCAGGGCAAAAGGAGAAAAGAATAGGAAGACAGGCCCTATGGTAGCCCTTGGGGTCTGAAAGAGTGATTAACCCTTTGGACAATGTCAGAAAGGGCCCAAAAACTGATAATCAAGAATTACCTCTGCTGGCAAAGGACAAAAGGACTCTTGCATTCCCTTCTTGTCTCTGTTCAAGTCAGCCCCCAGACCTACTGGGGTCATTTCCACCTCTAAGCTGGATGCAATGAATGGTTGAGCAGAAACGGTTCCATTCTGATGCTAAAGATGTTGAAGCATCAGAGTCCCCACACTTGCAAGTGGTCCCTATTTTTCTTAAATAGGGCCCAGTAAATTGTATAAGCTTTTGAACTCAGAACACCTGAATCTATCTAGCCAGAAGAAAGCTTATCTGGCTTCTAGGAATTAAGGACCAATAGAGAGGTCAGGAGGGCTCTAATTGAATTGACTCTAAACAAGGTTCAGTTTAATACACCCTGCCTCTATGGAGAGGCACCATTCATGGAGGGTCCAGGGCCCTTGAATTATCTGTCGGCTGAATCTTAGCTGGGTTCTGCACCCTAGATCTTTGGGCCACACCCAACTCAGCCCATCCTGTAGCCTCTCTCTTGGTCTCCTAGTCAGCACTTGTCCAGCGTGTGCTAGGCCTCCCGTAGCTAGTGTTCTCTTTGGTCCTCTACTCAGTTCTTCAAGGCTTAGCTCTGAATCTGCCAATTCATAAGTCAGGGCTTTAAGACCCCCGTCTCCCCCCGCCCCCCCACCCCCACACATTTTGCCCCTGCATCCACAGACCCTATTCCTATCCTTTGAGCCTTTAGGGTCAGTATGATCTCCTTAGAAGCCAGAACGTGCCTGAACTGACAGCTGCTCCAACATACCCCCATCTTGGTGCCCCCGGAAATCCCATCCTTGTAGCTTGTCTACCCCTGGCAGAGGAGACAAAAAAAAAAATGAAGGAATTCTGAAAAGGAGCCAGGGCCAAGGCTTGATGGCTAGGATGCTGAGGGAAAGGCACTAATGTGAAGGGAGCACTGGAAAGTCTTTGGTTAGCCTTCAGGGCTGTGGGGACAGAGCAGGGCGGGGATTCTGGGATCTAAAGAAGCTGTATTTGGAACTGAATTAGAGTCAGAACCTGCGCGCGATCTAAAGGTATGGGACTTCCAGGTTCCAGGCAGGTGCCGAGGTTCCGAGCAGGTTCCTGTCTGGAATTTCCAGGTGAACCGGCCTCCCGCCCGCCCTGGTCGGCCCTAGCACTTACCGGGCAGACTTGGAAAAGTCTCTGAGAAGTGCGGAGGCGGAGGCGGTGGGGGCTCTGCCACTTTCTCGCGGGCCGGCAGCAGCTCATCGGCTTCCAGTCCACCCTCTGGGCGTCGGCCGCCTGGTTCAGGGTTGTTTCGGGCGGCAGTGGCGGCGGCGGCAGCGGCGGCAGCGAGCTCTGGGGGTCCGTAGAAAGCGTCGGGCGGCTCCGCGAAGCTGGGCAGCGCGGTGGTCAGCGCCACCATCGAGGGCACAGCCTGACCCAGCCCCGCGCAGAAGGTGTTGGTAAGGCGGCCGGCGAAGGAGGCTAGCGGGGCGAGGGGCGGGAGACCAGCGGGCAGCGGCGCGGGGGCCAGCGCCTGCGGTAGGACGAGCGGCCGATAGGGCATGAACATGGGGTAGCCGGTGTACAGCAAGTGGCCGGAGCGCGGCGGCGGCGGCCCGATCAGGGAGTCGATGGAGAAGGCAGTGCCCGGGCCCCCGCCGCCGCCCCCGCCGTTGCCCCCGGGGGCACCACCGCCTCCGGCCCGCTGCATCTTGCTCGGAGCTGCGGCCGCCCCGGGGCGCTCCCCTCCGGGCGCCTCCTTGCGCCCCGCGGCTCGGGCGCCCCGCGCGGACACGCAGGGCTCGCTCCCTGGCTCCCGGGCCGAGCTGGCGGCGGGGCGCGGGATCGGCGCAGTGTGGCTCCGGCGCCGCGCTCCCTCTCTCTCATAAGGAGGGAGGGGGCGGGCGAGCGGGCGGGCTGGGGGTGTCGCCCTCCGGACTCATCCATCTTCCTCAAATTACGCTTCACTTCCTCCCTCCGCCCGCCGCCGCCGCGCCCGGCTCCCGCTCCCTCCGCAGTACCCGTTCCCAGCGGCCTGGCCGGCCGGCCCGGGACCCCCACCCGCCCCCCGCGGCCCAACCAACTATTATTAATGGAGATTGATGAGGCCGGACACGCCGCTTTGTGAAAGTTTGCGGCCGACGAGAAGGCGGCGGCAGCTGCTGGGCCGGTCCCCTTCCCTCCACCCAGTCCACCCCCAACTCAGCCCACCCGGCCCGAGCTCGGCCCGGCTCGGAGGGCAAGCGAGAGGTGGCCCAGGCTCCGACGGGGCAGCGGGGCCAAGCGTGGATGGGACACCGGGCGGCAGGCGGAGAGGGCGCACCAGCAGGGACAGGCAGCGGCGCCGGACCACAGCGCCCCTCTGCTCCAGGCCGCGGCCCTGGCGGGCCGCGAGTCATTCCCCGGCGTGCCTCCCAGCTCCGACACCCCTCCCCCGCCCGTGGAGCGGACGTTGTGGCGGTCCCCAGAGCAAGCCCGGGGGCGACTGGCAGGACAGCACGGCCGCCGCCCCCTCCAGCGAGAGCGCGGGGCTGAGGGAGGCGAGGCGGGGCCGACAGGGGGCGCGCTGCGCCTGCCCGGTACTATGGCTTAGCGCTACTCTTATGGGGCCCCTTTCCTCCTGTCTGCCCCATTGGCACTCTGGCCTCTGGTCTCTATTCTCTTGGCATTGGCTCTTCACCTTCTTCCTCATTCCCTCCTCCTCCTCCATCTCCAACTTCCCCTAGTCCCTTTCTCTTGCCTCTGGGTAATTTCCTTGAGTGCCCACACTATGCCAAGTACTTACCATTCCTCTGACCTTTTCCCTCCATCTTTCTCCCATCCTTTACATTCTTTTTCTTCCTCCCACTCCTCTTCCCTTTCCCGTCCTCGTTTCTATTCCTATTCCTCTCTGATTATTTCTTTCCCATCTCTTACTCCTTATCCCAGTCTCTGTTACTCGATTTTTCTCATTTCTCTCCTTTATCTGAATCTCTTGTCTGTCTGTCTATCTCTTGTCTCCCTCCCTCGCTCTCTCTCCCTCTCTTCTGCTATTAATTTTCCCTGATTGGCTCCCCAGCTCCAGCGCCGCTGATGAGCCCTATTCATTCCTGGGCCTGACACTCCCGACCTGCCCTGGCTGATTGCTGGGGGCTGGCCCCAGGAGCGCTGATGAGCCCCAAGGGTCAGTAGCGCTAATTATCCGCTAATTGCAGATGACTCTCACCTCCCCCCTTCTGAGACACAGAAATGGTGGCGCCTTTTACCGTCCTCCTCCTCCTCCCAATTCCGAGCGGTAGAGTTGTCAATCTAGAGGCAAAAGTCACAGACACTTTGACTTGATAGCCACCTCAGGTTAGTGGGCAAGAGACAAGACAGGCAAGTCAACAGAAGAGTGACCCAAGCTTCAGGACACAGGGCAAGGCTGGCCAGCTACAGTGAGTGTCATCTGGTCACAAGGAAATTGTTATTCAGGTAAGGCTAGGTAGAGCCAAGCTGGTTAAAATTAATATTAAAATTAATAACAGCAAAGCCAGGCAAGTTTAGGAAGATGCAGTCTAGATAGGGGAAGTGATTTGGCTCCAGGGAGGACAAAAACCTACACAAATTCCAGGATTGCCCGGCCAAGACAGAGCAGGGCAGGAGGGAACTCTGGGTCTCAGTGACATTTGTTCCAAATTAGGAGTGTTGTGTTAGCCTAGTGAACACTGTTAATGTCAGGCTGATGTATTTAAATCAGTACCTTCAAAGACACTGTCACCAGGGTGGACTGAGGAGGGGGGCAGGACTCAAGAAAGGATTTTTTTGGTTATGCCTTAACTGACAATTCATCAGAGAGATGAACAGAGAAGAATGTCATTTCCATGCAGTCTTGATCTACCTTGGGCTCCACATTCAGCCAGTGCAGTTTCTAAGAAACAAGTCTGGTGGTAAGATGTCGCAATGGAGAAAGAAGAGGTGCCTTAGCTTAACTCCAACTCACTACTAAAGGACTTGTCTAAAGATACTCTTCGGAACACCCCTTTGCTAAATTAACCAAGCACTTTCCCAGACCAACATGGAAGACCAAGCTTCAAAAGTATATTGTATTTTTAAAGTGAGAGGGCTTATCGGTGGTGGATACATAACAGAGGCTTATTGACTTGACAAATTATTGAGGCAACTTTGGGCTACAAAACTGAAATTAAACCTGTATGAGCAGTTACAGGATCAGCCAAGTAAGGCATGAAGGAAGAGCCATTTTTAAAAGTAATTGCATTCATTTATTGCATAGGTAATAAAATCACATAGTACCAAATTCCAAAAGCTCAAAAGGATATATATTGAAACATCACTCTTCTACCAGTCCCTTCAATAAAAGGACACTTTAAGAAGCCTGTCACATTCTGGTATGTCAAGGACTCAAGGTTAAAAGACCCTCTGATTGTATTAGCCAGTCATGGTGGCACACACTTGTAGCTCCAGCTACTTGGGAGGCAGAGGCAGGAGGATTGCTTGAGCCCAAGAGTTGGAGGTTAGAGTGAGTCATAATTGCACCATGTACTCCAGATTGGGTGACAGAGGGAGACCTCTAAAAAATGTTTTAAAGACCCTCTGGGCTGGGCACAGTGGTTCATGCCTGTAACCCCAGCACTTTGGGAGGCCGAGGTGGGTGGATCACCTGAGGTCAGGAGTTCGAGATTAGCCTGGCCAACATAGTGAAACCCCATCTCTACTAAAAATACAAAATCCGCTGGGCATAGTGGCGCATGCCTGTAATCCCAGCTACTTGGGAGGCTGAGGCAGGAGAATCGCTTGAACCTGGGAGGTGGAGGTTGGAGGTGGAGGTTGCAGTGAGCCGAGATCGTGCCACTGCACTCCAGCCTGGGCAACAAGGGGGAAATTCCATCTCAAAAAATAAATAAATAAAATAACCCTATGATCTTCAAGATATATGTCACCTAGTTCATGCCAAGAGCTTATTGCTTAGAACTATACTCAGTAAAGTGGATTCTCTACTCAAGCTGGCACAGGAAGTTCATACTTTTTTTTTTTTTTTGAGATGGAATCTTGCTCTGTTGCCCAGGCTGGAGTGCAATGGCATGATCTTGGCTCACTGCAACCTCCGCCTTCCGGATTCAAGCGATTCTCTTGCCTCAGCCTCCCAAGTAGCTCTGATTACAGGTGCCCACCACCATGCCCAGCTAAGTTTTGTATTTTTAGTAGAGACGGGGGTTTCACCATGTTGGCCAGGCTGGTCTCGAACTCCTGACCTCGTGATTCGCCTGCCTCAGCCTCCCAAAGTGCTGGGATTATAGGCAAGAGCCACTGGGCCTGGCCAGGAAGTACATACTTAAAACTTAGTGCCAACAAATCCCAGTGGGCCACCAATTCTGAACAGAGGCAAGTGAGACCTCAAGTACTTCTATTGACCTGGTGTGGTTTGTGTTTGTTAGATACTGTATTTCATAACCCATTTATATCCTTGATGTGTTCCCTTGCCATGCTGGAGATACGAAGTGTGACTTCTGTGAAGTCCTTGACATTCAGTAACATTGGCATACATAGTGGCAATTGCAGCAACCCATTTCCTTTCCCTGCCCTTTCATAGAACATAGAACTGAGGCCACATGGTAAATGGAAAGAAGCATTGGCTAAAGTAAAAAGACCTGGAGTCAAATTCCTTTTCTGACCCCTCACTGGGCCCTGTGACCTTGACCCCTCTTTGACATCTCCATCTGTGAGGGAGAGTGATTAATATCTACTCTGGCTGGGTACAGTGGTTTATGTCTGTAATCCTGACACTTTGGGAGGCCCAGGTGGGAGAACCACTTGAGACCAGGAGTTCAAGGCCAGCTTGGACAACATAGTGAGACCCCCGTCTCTATAAAAAAATTTTAAAAATTGGCCAGGCATGGTGGCACATGTCTGTAGTCCTAACTACTCAGGAGGCTGAGATGGGAGGATCACTTGAGCTGGGGAGGTTGAGGCTTCAGTGTGCAGAGATTGTGCCACTGCACTCTAGCCTAGGTGACAGAGCAGGACCGTCTTACAAATAAGAACAACAAGGGCCGGGCGCGGTGGCTCACGCCTGTAATCCCAGCACTTTGGGAGGCCGAGGGGGGTGGATCACAAAGTCAGGAGATCCAGACCATCCTGACTAACACGGTGAAACCCCATCTCTACTAAATATACAAAAAATTAGCCGGGCATGGTGGTGGGCAACTGTAGTACCAGCTACTGGGGAGGCTGAGGCAGGAGAATGGCGTGAACCCAGAGGGTGGAGCTTGCAGTGAGCAGAGATCATGCCACTGCACTCCAGCCTGGGCGACAGAGTGAGACTCCGTCTCAAAAAAAAAAAAAAAAAAAAGAACAACAAAAACTTTGTCTAGTCAAAAAGCAAGGGCAAGAGTCAACTGAATATGAAAAAACACCTTCCAAAATGAGTTCTTCCTACACTAAACAGACAAAGACTAGAGTGGCCAAGAAAGGAAGGGACTAATTTTCCCTGAAATCCAGAGCACTCCAAAACTACTTCTTACTCTCTCATCAGTACCAAGTACAGACCTTGCCTCTGTCAAATCTGAACAGGGCTAGCTCCTTTCTTTACCAGCAAAAAACTATGGTTTTCCCACTGAATTCCTGAGCAGACGCGTTATGGGAAAGTACCTGGTCTCATTGTCCAAAACAGAATTCTAAAAGTACTGCTTTGTCCATATTCTCTGACATTTGGGAAATGCTCCTATAGAGGAATTTTATCTTTAATCTACCCTCTGTGTCCACCACGGCCTCATCATCTGGCCTGACTTGTGTTGCCAACCAGCACCAAGGATGCTGAGAAAAAACAAAGTATTCAAGTCAAAGACCACAAATCTATACCTCCAATCCACTCACTGGCCAGAGAAAGTCCTCTCATGGTGGGCAGCGTCGGGTCTGGCCGCGGGTACCCTCTGGTGGCAGCAGCGCACAACTGCGGGCACAGCGAAGGAGGTGCGGGGTGCTGCAGCGCCCCCTGGCGATAGTCCAGGAGACGCGCCGAGGGCAAAGAAACCACTAACTGAGCCTCCAAGGGCCAGCGCGCGGGACGCCTCTAGGTGCTTAACTGTGAACGCACTGTTTGGGCAGGGGGGTTGTACGTGAGTGTCTTAACGTCTAGTGTGCGTGAGTGTAGGGTTAAGTATGTTTAGTGTGCCCCGGTACCCGAACCCTGTATGTCTGTTGTGTTAAATGTGTACCGTATGTGTGAGCTCGCACGTTCACTCGTGGGTAGGTGGGTAGTGGGGAGGTCCGCGCCTCTAGTGCAGGGCGGAGTCCTCACGGAGGCGTGAAATTGGTTTGGAGCAAGCACATTACGAAAAGCAATTACCAGGGAGAGGTTCTGGGCCCGCGGGACCAACAGCCAGGAGGCTGGGGAGGAAGCGCCCTGGCTCGCAAGAATCTGAATGTCTAACCCCAGTGAGGACCCTCCTGACATTGCCCCGCTAAGGGACAGTATGTGAAGTTGTGCACAGCCCCTTCATAGCCACCACTCCACATCGCCTTTCTTCCCTTCCCCGTCCTTGAAAAGGCGTCCCATGATCGCAGGCTCTCCAGATGTGGCCAGAAATCCTCCCCGTCTTCCTATCACTTTAGAGGAGGGTCCTTCTTCTGGGACGCCCTCCCAGATCTCAACCCCATTCCTCGCCCTCGTCTTCACGCCTCCAGCTCCTGCTCCCACATTTATCTTGCATTCATCCTATTGCCCTTTGTATTCTAACTGGTTGTTCACACGCTTGTTTCTCACACTGGACTGAAGATTCACTGAGGGCAGGAGCGTGTCTCGTTCCCAGCGGGGCATGAAGCACCTAAAACGTGGGGACCCGGAAGCACACAGTGAACCAAGTGGATGCAATCCAATAGAATTTCCATCAAAATCCACCAGCAGGACTCTCTCGGGCAAGTCATCCCCGGGAGTCGGGATTCCCTGGGAGCAGAGCTCCAAACTCTTTCCCGCGCCAGCAAGCCCGCACTTGCATGATGCCCAGACCTGCGCTCGACTTGGGCCCAGATCCCCGTGCCCAGGCCACAGCCTCTGAGATGGTTCCTAGGCGGCTCCAGTGCCATCTCCCCAACAACGGCCTTCTGCTTCCCGTTCCTTTCTCGTCTTCCCCACCTTAGCATCTGGCACCACCTTCTGACCAGGAGTCCAAGGCAAAAACCTGCGAGTCCCCCTAGGCAGCGCTTTTCTGCAGCCCCTCCACATCCCCCCAGCAGCGGCCCCCCAGGGATCCCGAATCTCGCCCGCCGCGACTGCCTCTGGCCTGGACCTCCGCAGGCGCCCCCCGACCCACGCCCGCAGCCAGGGCGGTCGGTCCTGCCACTCCTGCTGACCTGCTCTACTCAGGTCTCTGACTAAACGTCGCCTCCTCAGAGAGCAAGTTTCCCTGTCACCCGATCTCAAATAGTTCGCACTGCCAACCCCAGTCCCGGGCTCGGCGGCACCTGCCGCTTCCTCCTGTGCGCCGCGCTCCGGCCACCCCGCGCACGCGGACCCTGGTGGGGGCTGGAGGGCAGGCCTTGCCCCTGGTGCCGCGGCGCCTGAACGCAGCAGGCCCCGGAACGGCTACGGAACAAACCAGCGAGCACTAGGACGTCCCCCGGGACCCAGACCCGAGCCGCGGTCTCCACAGGGCGCCCCGCAGGCCCTCAACAGGAGTGGGCCTCGCGCACCAGGTTCCCGCGCACGCCTTGGGGCAGCCGCTTCCTGCCCGCGAGGTGGGGTCTGTGCCGTCGGGGTCCGCCTGGGGTTTCCACAGCGAGGAGCCTCCACCGCTTGCCCACCGCACCCGCGTCCTCGAGCCGCGCCCCAGCACCTGAAGCCAGACAGACCGGTCAGCCCAAGGTCCGTGAGGCCAGGGTGAGATTCCGGGCCCTCTCACTTCCTCTGCGCTTCTCCTCAGCCGCCTCTCAACGCCTAACCGGGCTTCCGGCCCTGGTCAGCGCGGCCTAAAGCCTCGCGCCCTCCAGGCCCCACCCCCTGTCTCTTCTCGCCCTCCCGGCCCCGCCCTTCGCCGCCTAGCTCGTGCCAGTTGGCGGGAAAGTTGCGAGCTCTAGCGCGTGCGCACTTTGCCGCCTGGGGGAACTCTGTCCAGCGACCCTTGACGTCAGGGATCACGGTGCACTTGACTGGCTGCCCTGTCCCGACCACCTGCCCTCCGCCTGTGGTTGCAGGCAGCTCCTGGCTGCGGGGGCCTCTGGCAGGTTCTGAAAATCCTGATACTACAGTGACTCTCAGGGACTCTCCTCCCTCTCTTTTTACAGAGGCAGAAACGTGAGCCCGGAGAGGTAAGAGACTTAGGTTCCACAAGTTAATGGCAGAGTTAAGACCAGAACCTGGGTCATGGAACTTTCAACTCGGCGCTCTTGCAGCCAGAGCTAAATTTAAGGAAGGAGCAGATAAAAGAGGCAGGAACCAGGCGTACTTCTGGTCCTCCCTGACCTACCTTGTCAGGCAATAGGCAGAACTGGTTCTGTTTTTTTAAACCTGGGCCTTTGGCTCTCAACTGAGCCATGGCTATCCTCCGCGATGGGCCACCCTACATGCCCCTCCTTCCAGGTGGCTCTCCTGCCTCCTCACCTTCCTACCCCAAGGGCTCCTGTGCCTTCCTGCCCAACTCTCTGCACTGCCTCCATGTGCACCCTGCACCTCCTTTAGGCCTTTTCTAACGCGTTGTCACCTGGTGGTCATTCTGTCATTTCATGGAGCTGGCAAGCCTGGGGCCTCTTAGCAGCTGGCTGATGCCAAAGGGGAAGGTGATGCAGCTGGCCCCATGGGGCACGTAGGGAGCCCCTGTCAGTCCGCCCATCCCGACTCCCCGGCAAGGGAGCAAGTTCAGAGGAAGGTCTGCCGGAGACAGTACCAAAACAGACCTGAAGATTTTTAATGCACATACAGGGTTTGCACAGGCTGGAAGGGGGCCCCAGGAGAGCCCCAACAGGAGTGTGTCTTCATCAGACATCATCTGGCTGTGGCTGTTAGTCCGCTTCTCTGCATTGGGAATTGCAGCATCCACACCTGCCTTCGCAGCTGGGCCTCCGCTGCTAGGCTACCTGGCCTGAGTTAGTGCAGAGGCGCGCCCTCTGCAGGCTGGGGCATCTGCTTTCAGGCCCTCTCAAAAGGCCGTGGACATCTGGAAGGAGAGGTTTGTATTCAGAGGCTTCTGGTGGTTCGGGGACAGGCCGGTTCTGGCCAAGGCCTTCCCCAATGCTTCTCTTGCCTTCCACCCATCCCTGGACCCCAAGCAGCTGTTACTGCTCACAGATCCCAGGGCTCACCTAGTAGAGCACGCCCTCAAAATCCAGCTGCAGGTAGCGGAGCAGGCGCGGTGGCAGGGGGAGGCGGAGCAGCGCGTGGGGCAGGCTGCCCTCCAGGTGGGAGCGGAGCGCACAGCGGCTCAGATGCTGCAGCGACCTGGGCTGCCTCACCAAGGCGAAAAGGGAGGAGTAGAAACGCTGATGTTTCTGGGGGCAGAACAAGGGGCTCAGTGAGGGGCAGCCTCAGACAGGTGGCGCCAGCTCCTCACAGGATAGGCAGGTGAGGGAGGGGTGGGGCATCTACCGGAAGGAATCTCTTAGAAACAATGAATGTTTGAGTGTTCACTCTGCAAATTTTCTCTTCTGGGACATGAGTGCGTCTTTGGATACTTTCTCTGGGGGGCTGTGGTTTAGCAGGTGGGAGTCTTGGGGCCAGGATGAGAGGCTCTATGTTCAGGGCCTTGGAATCTGACCTGCAGAGTTTCAGGGGGCACCAGGCCCACAGCCTCCTCGGGAAGCTGCACAACACTGTAGGTGTTCATCAGGACCTCGATGGTCTGAGGGCACGTGCTCCAGCGCTCCAGCACCTGTGGGAGGCAAAGACGTGTTGGGTCCCCAGTCAGTCCACACAGTGACCAGACAGCTCCAGAATAGTTGTTGTGGGTTGAACTTTGTTTCCTAAAAGATATATTGAAGACCTAACCCCCTGTACCTATGAATGGGACCTTAATTGGAAATAGGGTCTTTGCAAATGTAATCAGGTTAAAATGAGGTCATTACGGTGGGCCCTATTCAATATGACTGGTGTTCTTATAAGAAGAGAAAACAGAGGTACAGACACCGACACAGACGAGAAGGCCACGTAACGACAAAGGCAGACAGTGGAGTGACACGTGTATGAGTCAAAGGACACCAAGGATTGTGGGAAACCACTGGAAGCTACAAGAGCGCCATGGAACAGATTCTCCCTCAGAGGCTTCAGAAGGAGCCAGCCCTGCCTACACCTGCATTTCAAACTTCCAGCCTCCACCGCTGTAAGGGAACTCCATTTCTGTTGCTTTAAGCTATCCAGTTTGTGGTACTTCGTTTGATCCAGGAAGCCAATACAGCAGCTAACCTTTCTATTGTGCATAACTCAGGCCAGATGATTTTTCTAGCACTTTACATGTATGAACTCTTCACTGTTGTCCCTGCAAGGGATGGACTGTTAATATCCCTATGTTGTTATCCCATTTCCTTCACTACAGCCAAGGGAAACTGAGGGACAGAGAAGTTAATTAACTTGCCCAAGTTGTGGTTCCCACAGTCCAGGCCTGGAAGCGTGGCCCCTTGCCCTTAACCACACCACCATCCTGCTCTCCTCTCTGCCTCTACAAGGTTCTGGGCTGGGTTTTCTGCTGGCTGGAAGGGGTCCCTGACCTGTGGGTGGAGCTCCTGAGCAGATAAAAAGATCACAGAATCCATACAATGCCAAGTGTGGGTAGAAACAGCTACGAGAGTGGGCCAGGGAGTGGGGTGGGGCTGGGTGGGGGACTCACAGAGGGAGGATTGGGCTCTGGAGGCAAGGGAACCCCAGAGCCACGAGGGTATTCAGGGAGAAGGGACAAGGCAACCAGAGGCCGATGGACTGCCTGCAAGAGCAGGAGAGGATTTGATAGGAGCAGGAGTGGAATCTAGTTGGAGCCAGATTTGTGCTTTCATTGGTTCATTCAGCAACTATTTATTGAGGGCCTACTATGTGCCAAGCACTTCAAATTCAGCAGTGGGGAAAATGAAGTCCTCGTCATCCAAGAGCTTCTATTTCAGAAGGAAAGCATAATAAACACAGAAGTCATCACTCACAGATCTGCTGCTGCAATGAAAAACAAGAAGGGGCTGGGCACGGTGGCTCATGCCTGTAATCCCAGCACTTTGGGAGGCTGAGGTGGATGGATCACTTGAGGTCAGCAGTTTCAGACCAGCCTGGCCAACATGGTGAAACCCCGTCTCTGCCAAAAATACAAAAATTAGCCAGGCAGTAGTGGCGTGCACCTGTAATCCCAGCTATTCAGGAGGCTAAGGCAGGAGAATCTCTTGAGCCAGAATCACGCCACTGCACGTGTGGGCGACAGAGTGAGACCCTGTCTCAAAAAAAAAAAGGAAAAAAAGTAGGGTCAGGGGACTGAGCATGGTTGGGGGGGCACTATCCTAGATGGAGTGGTCAAGAAAGGTCTCTGAGGTGGTGGTCCAATGCAGCACGTGGGCAAGCCATGCAGTGGAGCAGCCTGTGGACAGACCGTCCACGTGGTCAGAAAAGTGGCCTAACAGACACGGGCACCATGACTCCCGCTTGTGCCTGAACTTGGTACCTAAAGCAGATTCGTGCCTCCTCCACTGCACTCCACTCTCGCTGCATCTCTACAGGTGATGGCCACAGAGCCTTTTAAGATCTGAAAACAGGTAAGTACTGTCTTTCAGGCAGTATCTCACACACAACCTACACGTGGCCAAACACACAACTGCATCTAACAGTGGGGGTTTAACAGCCTCTGTCTGCAAGGAGAGGAGACCCTTCTGTCTGTCGATGACAGTAGCGATGAGCAGTGGGAGCAGAAGACCTGGTCTTCCGGGGTCGCTGGAGAAAGCATGTTACACACCTGGGCCCTCTGCTTCTAGCCCTGCATCTGAGCAGTGCTCGCCAGTCTGTCCCGGGAGGCCTCTTTTCCTCACTCCTCCGAGCTAGGGAAGAGCAGGCTGGTTCTCTCCGACTCTCCTCTCCACCTGCCCCTCAGGCCCATCTCTGTCCTTCCTGGCCCATGTTGATCCCCACCTCTGCACTGCGCTCAATCAGCTCTCTGTGCCTGAAATACCTGTCTCTTCCTCCTTCTTCCCTTCAAAACTGCCCATCCCAGTCCCGCCTCCTCCAGGAAGCCTGTGCGGCTACACCAACCTGCTTTGTACTCCCGTGTCCAATGATACCCTCATTGGGATGATGCCGAGCAGCTTACCAAGTGCTTTCTCATACATTACATAACGAGAACAACGCTAGCTAACAAGTGTTAAGCACTAGGCTTGATGTGTATTAACCCTTCTCACACTAACCCTATGAAGAAGGCATAGTGTCATATCCCTATGTTACAGATGACAAAACTGAGGCCTAGGGAGATTCAGCAACTTGCCGAAGGCCACACAGGTAGTGTGTCTGGCTCCAGAGCCTACCCTCCTAGTCACCACTGACCTCAGAGGTTGCTGGGAGGACTGAGAAACTCCTGTAAGAGGAAATACAGCTTAGAACAGTCCCTGCTGTGTAGTCAAGGCTGTGCTTGCTCCGACTCTTCCCCAGTGCTCTCCTACAGTTTTCCATCCTCTTAGGGAGAGCCTGTATCACATGCAGTGACTTGCCTACAGCCACACAAACAAGCATCAAAGTCATCCTGGATCCAGGTCCCCTGAGCACCAAGTCCAAAGTGGTGGCTCCTAGAGAACCGGCTGGGGCTGGCGTTTCATCATAGATGGGTGGTGGAGGCTTCTGTGCAGGGAGGACAGAAACCCCTCAGCTGGCAGGGCTGCAGATCATGGAAAAGGACAAATGGGGTACTTTGCTCTGCCAGCCCCTTTGGTCCCAGAGACAGGCTGAGGGGTGGAGCAGGGCTGTGGGGTCCCAGGAAACCCTTTCGCTGTGCCGGGCCCTCCTCCCGCCCCTGCCTGCTGGGGAAATCATTAGCTGTCAGAGCTGCCGTCAGATTACAGGGAATTACTTGTCTCCTAATTATCTAGTGTTAATAGGAGATTAATTAGTGTTAATTGTTGATTTTCTTGTATTTTCCCAAAGGGGAGACCAATCTGCCGAACTCTTGGGCTGTTTAATTATTTGGTCTTGCTTAGGAATCCAGACAGATGCTTCTAGGTTTGTGAGCAAAGGGGAGAGGCTGGGATAGCAGGAGGTCCCAGGACAGGCAAGGCTGGGTGGGACAAGACTCTGGGCTGGGCCAGAGGGGACCTGCCTACTTAGAGGGTGGTTTCAGTTCTGACCCATCTCCTCTGAGAATGGATGTCCCCATTCCCAGACCCAGCGCCCTTCATGACATTATCTACGCTCCTCCAGACACGACACAGCATGGAGCAAGGCCCCCTCCCAGGGCATCAGTAGCACAGGTCTTCAAGTTGAACCTACTTAGGGGAAATTAAGATAAAGTAGGATATAAATTGAAATTGACAGTGAAAGGCATGTTCACAGGTGCCAGGACCGTGGCAGCTGTTCTGGGGGCCGTGGGTCCTACTAGATTCTCAGAAGGTGGGACCATGTCCATTTGCAGACATTCAGGGGACCTTGAGGCTCCTGAAACAGGCTCGCCCCCTTCCCTTGGGGAGCCTCTCCTGCGTCTGTCACTGAACTGATCCCACTGCTAGTGGGAGCTTCCTCAAATGCTATTTTCAGCAGTTCGTTGTGCTGATGAAGACCCTTGAACAATGCCCACCACCCACATCAACCCTGACTCCTTCTGTCTTTTTGGATCCTTTATCATCTGGCCTCACTGCCCCCAGTCCACCTTTATCACACATGCACAGTATATACATGCACATATGTGCATGAACACATGTATACACATGCACACCATGTGAACACATGCACACACACATGCACACACACACAGTTCCCACTGATCTGTGTCTTCACCTTGACCCCTATTTGGGCTTTGCTTACATGCTGAATGAAAGACAGACAGAAGGAACCAATCTATGTGCACAAGCCACATTCCAAAGTAAACCGGAGCACAGGCCTAGGTCTCCCTGTCCCCTCACCATGGTGGCCCTCCTGCTGCCTGCAGCCCCCATACCTTGGGGAGGGCCCCTGGCCAGACACGGACGGCACCGTGGTTGAGCAGAGCCCGAACCACGTGCTCGGGGCTCTGGGCCAGGGCTGCAGCTGGGCCCTGCAGAGCACAGTGCAGGGGTGTGTGTCCCCCATAGTCCATGGCGTTGGCGCTGACGCCACAGGACAGGAGCAGCTCCACGACAGCTGCATGGCCACGGCGACAGGCCAGGTGCAGGGGTCGATGCTTGTCCCGGTCGGCAGCATCAGCGTCTGCTCCAGCTGAAAGCAGCAAGCTGCACAGCTGCAGGCAGCGGGCCGTGGTGGCCTCCGCATCGGCAGTGGACTGGCAGCGGATGTCACAGGCAGCCAGCAGTGGGGTCCAGCCTTCGGCATCGCGGGCATCAGGACATGCCCCCCGTCTTAGAAGCAGATCTGCCAGCTCCACATGGCCAAGCCGGGCAGCCACATGCAAAGGGGTCTCCTCTTCCTCCTCGGACCGACCATCCACTCTTGCTCCAAACCTCAGGAGCAGCTCCGCACACCTATTAGGGAGGAGATGGTGGTGGGGAGGAAAGCAGGCACAGACTCCCAGCAAGAACACACTTGGGTGGCTCTTTGTTCTGTCTCCCCCCACCCACCCTACATCCTGCCCGTCACTGGTCATCCCAGCACCATTCTGCAATATCAACAGTGCCCTTCTTTTTTTTTTTTTTTTTTTTTTTTGAGACTGAGTCTTGTTCTGTTGCCCACGCAGAAGGGCAGTGGCGCGCTCTCAGCTCACTGCAACTGCCGCCTCCCAGGTTCATGCCATTCTCCTGCCTCAGCCTCCAGAGTAGCTAGGATTACAGGCGGCCCCCACCATGCTCGGCTAGTTTTTTGTGTATTTAGTAGAGATGGGGTTTCACCATGTTTGCCAGGCTGGTCTCGAACTCCTGACCTTAAGTGATCGACCTGCCTTGGCCTCCCAAAGTGCTGGATTATAGGCATGAGCCACTGTGCCCAGCCAACAGTGTCCTTTAACATCCACATACTTTTTGTTGGGATAATCCACTAAATCATCCGTGAGAATAAACGTCACCAGCAGTTATCACATGAGTGGTTAGAACAGGCGCCTGCTAAGGGTTTTACATGTAGTAGCTAATTTCATCCTCACTATATTCCCTTGGTAGGCTCCCTTAAGACACTTATGCCACAAAGGAGGAAACTGAGGTCTGAGGATCTCATGCAAGTTGATATGGCTAGTAGGGGGAGGGCTGCTGTTTGGGTCCAGGGGCAGCAGGACCGCTGGGGGGCTCTGCATGCTGGGACTAGAGGAGGAAGGGAGCGTGGGGCCTGGCAGTGGGCGCACATGGAAATGGGGCAGTGGGACAAAGAACAAGACTGATTGGCTGAGCGTGGTGGCTCAAGACTGATTGGCTGGGCATGGTGGCTCATGCCTATAATCCCAGCACTTTGGGAGGCCAAGGTGGGTGGATCACCTGAGGTCAGGAGTTTCAGACCAGCCTGGCCAACATGGTGAAACTCTGTCTCTACTAAAGATACAAAAATTAGCCAGGTGTGGTGGTGGGTGTCTGTAATCCCAGCTACTTGGGTGGCTGAGACAGGAGAATCGCTTGAACCCAGGAGGCAGAGACTGCAGTGAGCTGAGATCATGCCACTACACTCCAGCCTGCGTGACAGAGTGAGATTCCTTCTCAAAATGGAAAAATAAAAACTAAAAAAGACTGAAATTGGCCAACTGGATTTACTCCAAGATGGCAAGAAGCACAGGGAGTCACAGCAACGTGTGCGCCTCACTAACGGGACTTGGCCTCTCTGAGCTCCAGTTCCCTCCTGTGTAGAATGCGGATAATTATAACAGCTCCATCTTCCGAGGTGATTGTGAGCAGCATGTGAGACAACCCCTGAAAACCTGCCATCGTAAGAGCTCAAAATGGCGGGGGCAGTGGGAGGTATAGAGGGTGATGGTTTGTGGGGGCTCACTTCATTATCCTGTCTGCCTTTCTATAGGTTTAAACGTCTCCATAATAATTTTAAAATACATTTGTTTCCTCACAAAGGAAGGAAGGATTATCCCTGCGTGTGATCTCAGGGAGGCTGGTGGGAACATGGTCAGAACTAAAAATGTGGGATCATTCACTATCCAGTGGTAGCTACTAGCCACCTGTGGATATCAAGTTCTTGAAATGTGGCTAATCCTAACTGAGATGTGCTGTGTTATATGCACACCTTTTCTTCTCCTTCTTCAGAAACAGAGCTGGCTAGGGGCAGTGGAGAATCACTTTAGCCCAGGAGTTCAAGACTATCCTGGGCAACAAAGTGAGACCCATCTCCACAAAAAATTAGCTGGGAATGGTGGTGTGGGCCTCTAGTAGTCCCATTTACTCTACAGGCTGAGGTGAGAGGATTGTTTGAGCCCCGTAGTTTGAGGCTGCAGTGAGCTATGAACACACCACTGCAAATCCAGACTGGGTGACTGAGAGAAAGACCCTATCTCTCTCTCATTCTCTCTCTCTCTTTTTTTTTTCTGTTGAGATGAGGTCTCTCTCTGTTGCCCAGGCTGGAGTACAGTGGCGTGATCTCCACTCACTGCAACCTCCACCTCACAGGCTCAAGTGATCCTCCTACCTCAGCCTCCTGAGTAGCTGAGATTACAGGTGTGCACCACCACGCCTGGCTGATTTTTGTTTGTTTGTTTGAGATGGAGTTTCCTTCTTTTGCCCAGGCTGGAGTGCAGTGGCACGATCTTGGCTCACTAAAACCTCCACTTCCTGGGTTCAAGCGATTCTCCTGCCTCAGCCTCCTGAGTAGCTGGGATTACAGGTGCCCACCACCATGTCCAGCTAATTTTTGTATTTTTAGTAGAGACAGTTTTACCATGTTGGCCAGGCTGGTCTTGAACTCTGACCTCAGGTGATCCACCCAGCTCGGCCTCCCAGAGTACTGGGATTACAGGCATAAGCCACTGTGCTCAGCCTCAATTTTATATTGATTACATGTCAACATGATAACACTTTGGATTTGTTGTGTTAAATAAAATATAATTAATTTAACCTGCTTCACAGATATTTGTACCCACATGCCCACAGCAACATTATTTGCAATAGCCAAAATGTGGAAGCAACCCAGGTGTCCCTCAGTGGGTTAATGAATAAACAAAATGTGCTCCCCACATATAACAGAGTGTTATTCAGCCTTAGACAGGAAGGAAATTCTGAAACATGAGACAACATGGGTGAAGTCTAAGGACATCATGCTAAGTGGAATAAGCCAGTTACAGAAGGACAAATACAGGATGATTCCACTTATGTGAGGTCCCCAGAATGTTCACATTCAGAGACAGAAAGTAGGATAGTGATTGCCAGGGTTTGGGAGAGAGGATGCGGTGGGTGGTTAGTGTTTGATGGGGATAGAATTTCAGTTTGGGAAGATGAGAAGGTTTGGAGATGGATGGTGGCGATGACTGAACCACAACATGAATGTGGCTTAATGCCATTGAACTGTACACTTAAAAATGGTTACAAAGGGCCAGGCAAGGTGGCTAATGCCTGTAATCCCAGCACTTTGGGAGGCCGAGGTGGGCAGATCACGAGGTCAGGAGATCGAGACCATCCTGGCTAACATGGTGAAACTCCGTCTCTACTAAAAATACAAAACATTAGCCAGGCATGGTGGCAGGTGCCTGTAGTCCCAGCTACTTGGGAGGCTGAGGCAGGAGAATGGCATGAACCTGGGAGGCAGAGCTTGCAGTGAGCCGAGATCGCACCACTGCACTCCAGCCTGGGCGACAGAACAAGACTCTGTCTCCAGAAAAAAATAAATAAATAAAAAATGATTACAAAGGTAAATTTCATTTATATTTTACCACCATTAAAAATTAATTTTACATATTTGTCCTTTTTTTTTGTGAGACAAAGTCTCACTTTTTCTCCCAGGCTAGAGTGCAGTGGCGCAATCTAATCTCCGCTTACTGCAACCTCCACCTCCCAGGTTTAAGCAATTCTCCTGCGTCAGCCTCCCAAATAGCTAGAATTACAGGTGCCTGCCACCACACCCAGCTAATTTTTGTATTTTTAGTAGAGACAGGGTTTGGGCATGTTGGCCAGGCTGGTCTCAGACTCCTGGCCTCAAGTGAGCCACCTGCCACAGCCTCCCAAGGTGCTAGAATTACAGGGGTGAGCCACTGTGCCTGGCCATTTGTCATTTTTTGATGGGGCTGCTAGAACATTCTAAATTGCATATGTGGCTCACATTAGGTTTCCACTGGGCCACGCTAGTAAAGAACACATCTTCAACCATAGTATGAGGAAGTCTATGGAATCCTCTAGAGGCTGATGGGATTAACAAGGAGAGGGTCCATGAAAGGAGAACCTCAGGGTCAATAATTTGGCACCTTTCTCATGCAAGAGACAAGACCCACAGGTGTGCAGTCGGCAGAGAGAGGGCCTCTATAGGATGCAGAGTTAGTTTACAAAATTGTAATTGGGATCCCATCCTCCAACGTTGCTTACACATGGGGTGCAATTATTTATGTCACTGCAAAGGACTATTCCCTACAATAAATGATACATTGGCACATTTGGGTATATTCATCAGTTTCTTGGGAGTTTAGTTAGTGAGAGTCCATTGAGCCCATGATCTGAGGGTGCCCTACCAATATGGAGATTCTAGACCTGTCATGGAGAACCAGACCCTGCCCAGAGGGACCCAGGCAGGTCCTCACTGGGGCCACCATCCTCTACTCCCTGTCTGGATCACTGAACAGTAAGCTCCCTGAGGGCAGGGCCTCAGGGACTTAGTTGCTCTTGTACTTAGCACAGTGCCTAGAACATAGGATAAGCTCAGAGTGTCTTTTAAAACTTTAAGCAACGCCACCTCCCCATAGTGGAGCCAGGCAATTTCCCAATGCAGCCCATGCAACTGCACCCCTGCCACAGTCTCCATCTGCCCCTGGGAGACCAGAAAACTGTCGAAAGTCCAGGCCACTCCAAAGTTCATGGGGTCAATGAGTGGACGGCTTGGAGAAGTAATTGCACCCTGACCCATGCCCCAAGCCTGGACTGCTCTGCCCCACGTCCCTGACATTTTCCCCTATCCTCCCTGAGAAGGTCTCTTTGCTTCCCTTCAGAATGGAACTGGGGGTTGGGGTGAGGGGTCACTCACTCAAGGGTGCCAGGCCCCCGGCAGAGATGCAGGGGGCGTTTCCCATCCTGGTCAGCGATGTTGGGGTCGGCTCCTGCCACCAGCAGCACATGAACACAGGCAGTGTGGCCTGCAGCACAGGCCTCGTGCAGGGCGGTGCGGCCCCCAGGGGCACTGTCTGGCCTTGCTCGCCGCCTCAGCAGCAGCCGCAGGACTTCGGTGTGGCCACGGCTGGCCGCCACATGCAGTGGGGTGGTCAGCTCCTCTTCGTATGTCAGAGACCACAGTCCTAGGGAGGGGAGATGTGGGTCTCAGATCCTAGGGAAGGCAAAGACCTTCCAGCTGATGGGGTGAGGTGGGCAGAGGCAGGAAGAGGGAGCCCAGAGCTCCATCTGAGTCCTCCCCTCTCTCCCGCTGAGACCCCCCAGGGCCCCGGCCCGTACTCAGAGCACGGATGTTGAAGCGGAAATCCCTCCATCGCTCTGGGTCGCTGGTATCAAAGACGGAATCAGGAGCCAGGCCAGTACTGGAATCCGCGAGGATGCGGGAGACGCAGCCCTCGTCCCCAGCCAGCACTGCCTGCCAGAAGGCAAGGGCAGGTCCTGAGGCCGTGCGGGTGACGATGGGTCCCAGGCCAGACTTGGGGTGCTCCTCAGACCCTCTACTTGGCTTCTCCAGCAGCCTGGCACAGAGGGGGTGTCTGTCATCGAGGGGCTCTCCCTGCCCCTTGCACTCTTCTGGAGTCCAACTCATGAGCATGTGGGCGGGGAGAGGGGAGTGGGGAGGAGGAGAGGTATATGCCAAAGGCAGAGAGAGAGCAGCAGGGAAATACAGACAGAGGCAGAAGGCCCCTGTGTCCCACGCTCTGAGCCTGACCTGGCCACGCAGCCAGCAGGAGCTATTCTGGGCTCCGCATGACTGTGTTCCTGGGCCAAGGTTTAGGCTATTGGGCAAGCTTTGAGGTTGGGGAGAAACAGCTGGGGGCTTCTCCTGTCTCTCAAGCCCTTAGGTCCTCTATGGCCGAGGCAGTCAGCCCAGCCCCCCAGGTTCTCAGCACCCCCCAGATGCCCCTCACCCCTCTGGTGGCTGCTCCAGCGAGGCTCTGCGGCCCGGCTCTCCAGCAGCAGGTCGGCTGTGCTGTGCGGGGGGAACAGCTCCTGCAACCTTGCCAGGTCCCCGGTGTAGAGGGCATTCTGCAGGGCCATGTCTTGACACAGCAGTGGTGATGGCCGAGGGGTCTCCCAGGCTGGGCGGGAGTGGGGCCCCCAGACCCGGCAGGCAGGGGCAGAGGGAAGGCACCTCAGATGGTGTCCCCAGTGGGGATAGGAGTTCTTTCCCCAGGGCATGGCTTATTCTGGGAGAGCCAAAGCAGCAGGACTCCCATCGATGTTGCTGGTGGACTAGGCAGGTGGGTGCTGGGCCCGAGCTGGGTGGGGCCCAGCATGGGAGGCGCAGGGGAGCACAACATCAGGCCAAGCCATAAATAGCCCCGATTGGCCCAGCTGTCAGTCAGGCAGGGTGGGGGAATGAGGGAGGGGCAGGAGAACAAGCGAGGCCTGAGCCCTCCAACTCTGAGCTTCACCCCAGGGCTGTATGACCTCAGGGTGGAAAGGCACCACCCAGACCATGCTGCCCAGTCTGTCATCTCGGCATTAGAGGGAAGCGGATTTCCCAAGACCACAGAGAGCTTGCCGCAGAGCCAGGACGGGAACCCAGGACCTCAAGCTCCTTCTTGTTTTTCCTCTGATTCACCAAATCAGCCTCCAGCTGCCTGGGTTCTGATCCCACTGGGGAGGCCTGTAGGTGCCCGGTATTTCCTGCCCTTCCAAATGTCATCTGTTAGCCCTGCACCTTCCCACTCCCAAACCAAGGGACGAGTTCACAGTAGTGACAGAGATTGCCCTCGCTGTGTGAGGCACCCCTCAGGGGACTCCTAAAGACAGACATGTGCCTTGGTAACACAGCGTAACCCACAGGCAGCCACAGAAACTCCCCATGCTTGCCCTTGATGCCAACCCCCCATCTCCCTGGATGACTTTGGGTGGCATCTCTCCCCTGCCATGGTTATCTGGGGTCTTCCCTAGAGAGTGAGAAAGGAGAAATGTCTCTGTCTGCTCAGGCACTGACTTTTGTTTGGGGGTCGGGTGGATCAAAAGGAAAAAAAGAGAGAAAGATGAGAAACCAAGCCCTGGGGTTCAGCTCTGACCCACCACTGCCCACCGTGGGCTTAGGGTGCTCCAGCCCCAGTGGTCTTGCCCCTTTAGTTCACACTGGCTTAAAAATTTTTTTTAATCAATTGCTTTTTTAAAAGTTTCATTTTTAATTGACAAATAATTGTATATATTTATGGGGCTATAATATTTTGATACATGTATATAATGTGTAATCATATCAGGGTAATTATCACATCTATCAAATGATATTTACCAATTCTTTGTGGTGAGAACATTTAAAATCCTCTTTTAGCTATTTTGAAATATACATCATTATTCACTACAGTCACCTTGCTATGCAATAGAACACCTGAACTTATCCTATCTACCTGTAACATCATACCCACTGACCAATGTCTCCCCTTTCCCTGTCCACCTCCCCTGAGCCCCCAGCCTCTGGGAATCACCATTCTGCTCTTCTATGAGCTTGACTTTTTTAGATTCCACAATGAGCAAGATCATGCGGTATTTGTCTTTCTGCACCTGGCTTATTTCACTTAGCACAACGTCCTCCAGATACATCGCATTTGAAAATCCATTCATCCACTGATGGACAACAGTTGTTTCCATGTTTTGGCGATTGTGAGTAGTGCTGCAGTGGACGTGGGGGTGCAGACATCTCTTCTTCATGCTGATTTCAATTCCTTTCCGTATATAGTGGGATTGCTGAATCATAAGGTAATTCTATTTTTAGTTTTTTGAGGAACCTTCATTCTATTTTTCAAAATGGTACTAATTTACACCACCACCAACAGTGCAGAGTCCCCTTTTCTCCATATCCTTGCCAACACTTATCTTTCAGTTTTCTATAATAGCCCGTCTAACAGGTGTGAGATAATATCTCATTGTTTTTGATTCACATTTCTCTGATGATTAGTGCTGTTGAACATATTTTCAGATATCTGTTGGCCATTTGTGTGTCTTCTTTTGAGAAATGTCTGTTCAATTCCTTTGTTCATTTTTTAATAGGGTTTTTTTGTTGTTGTTGTTTTTATTTAGTAGTTTGAGTTCCTTGTGCATTTTGGATATTCGCCCCTTATCCAATGTTTGATTTGCACATATTTTTTCCCAGTCTGTGGATTGTCTCTTCACTCTGTCATTTCCTTTGCTGTGCAGGGACCTTTTAGTTTGGTACAATCCCATTTGTCTATTTTTGCTTTCATTGTCTGTGCTTTTGGGTTCATATCCAAGAAATCTCTGCCCAGACCAACATCATGGAGATTTCCCCTATGTTTTCTTCTAGGGGTTTTATAGTTTCAGCTCTCCTGTTTTCTCTTACTACCTGTGGACACACCTTGGCCTTCATCCACACACTGTGTACATGGTCCACGGGTCTGCCTCTTCCAAGAGAACACTCCGGGGCTCCCCAGCCCTTGGTGGTATTGTTGCCCCTGCTCCCTAAGTTCTCTGACCCCGTCCTCCCCTGAGCTGTTCCCTCCCCAGCAAGGGGAAACCCACAGATGGACTCCCACCCTAGGAGCAGGAGGCCCTATCCCATTGAGCCCTAGGCTGTGGTCAGAGGATGCAGTGCAGAGCTGGGGCAGGCAGAGTGCCAGGGGAGGGGTCTTTAGGAAAGAGATGAAGAATACTCAGAGAAATTGGGTCAATCCAGTGCTGCACTCCCATGTCCACTGCAGCATTGGGTCTACCAGCAGCCCTTGCCCTGGTCACAAAGCCCCACCACCTCCCCACAGCCTTGCTGAGCCCTGCTTCCCATCCTGCCCCCACTACTGCCCAAGCACCCTCCCTGCCCTGACTTCCCAGCCACTTTTGCTAGAACGGTCAAACTCTAGGGTAAAAGGGACCTTAGAAATTCCTGGTCCAATCTCTCTTTGCTTTATAAGTAAGGAAACTGAGGCCCAGAGACAGGAAAGCACTCTCCAGGTCACACAGGCAGTTAGCGCCAAGTGGGTTTAGAACCAGGGACAGTTAACTTCCAGACCTGTGCTTTTTCTGACTGCACACCTTCCTTCTCCCCTCTCTCCTCTTTCCCTCTCTCCTCTTTCCCTCTCTCCTCTTCCTATTTTTTCTCCCTTAAATGCCTCAAGGAGGAAGAGAGTCAGGGAACCAGGATAGGACAATGACAAGGAGATGAAGACCTGGAAATGGGGGCTGAGGACAGGGATCTGGGAGCCAGAGCAGGGAGGCGGCAGTGAACTGGCAAGGGCCAGGGCCCAGGAGAGAGGTGGGGGCTAGACAGGGCCAGGCACAGGTGGGGACACAGAGGGAGGGGTAGGAAGACACGGACATGGATGGACAAGAAGAGTTTGTCCCCAAGTCATCTGGGCGTTTATGCCTCTGCCCCATCCCTTTACCCTTGGGCCACTGCCCTGTCCCACACCACTAATCTCAGGTACCCACAAGCCTTAGCCATCACTTTCTTTTCTTCTTCTCCTTGGCCAGCTTGGCCTCCTCAGCCTCCAACTGGTCCATCCTGTGCTTCATGCTCTTCTTGCCCAGTGGGGTCTTGAAGTACCAGTCCTGGGTTGGTGGGCACAGGAGTGGTAAGGCCCTGGGACCCATCCTGACCTCACCCCTCCCCTTTTTACAGATTGTTTCCTCAGCAGCCTCTTCTCCTCTTCCCTTGGGTTCAGGGGTCCTTTTAGGGCTGGGGTTTCCCTTGCTCCCCACCAAATCCTTCCGGTATGATGTCAGCCATTCTTAGGGGGCAAGCCCTCTTCCCTCCACACCTGCAGCCCTCTCTGCTGTGCTCCCAAGGCCATCCTTGGCAGGTACACTGACTCTGGGGTGGGAAAGGTGGGTGGCAGCTGTTACCAGAACTCACAAAGGGCTCCTGATACCTCAGTGGTCCCACCCTCAGGGAAACCAAGTGGGATGGCCCCAAATGCATTTCCTGGTGATTTCCTGCTCCCTTCCCAGCTGAGCTCCACACATGTTTCCACCGATTGTCTTCTGGTAATTTGTGGGAGCAGAGGGAGGGGTCCAAGGTGTGCTTCAGGGGGCTGACTCCCCAAGGGCGCTGCTTACCCACAGCCCCTGGCCCTGCCACCTCACCTTCAGGGACTCCTCCTCCTCCCTGTATACTGGATCCAGCTTCGCCAGTTGTCCCAGGAACTCAGAGGCCACCAGGGGCCGCTTGGACAGTTGCAGGAACCGCCGCTCACTCAGCACCGATTGGATGGCTTGGAGAATGTGACCTGGCGTGTAGCCATCGGAGACCTTGGCTAGGGCACTGATGTCCAAGTGCTGGGTTGGCTGGACGCCCCGGGCCTCTATCATACGCTTCCAGAACACTGCAGGCATGCGGAGGACATGGGGCTTGGAGGGGCAGTGGGCACCAGGGAGGGGCAACAAGGCCTGAGCAGCCCCCACCTGGATCTGGAAGGAGCTTTGTGCTCCGGGGAGCAGCTCCATGTCCATCAGCTCCCCTTCCCCAGGGAAGGTACCAGATCTCAAGCTAAGCAAGGGTCATCCTCCCAACTCAACCCGAGCAAGCAGAGCCTCGGAGGACATAAACCACCTGCTTGTGTCCACAGAGCCGAAGCCAGGACCCAGGCTACTGGGCTGCTTGTCCAGCAGCCCTTCCAGAAGATCTGGCTGTGGGGGTGAGGGCTCGCAGCAGCAGTGGGGTATGGGGCAGGAGGTGGGCAGGCTTTGGTAGGGGCAGCCAACCCCGTGTCCCCAGGCCTCACCATAGCGGGACGCGTAGTCAGGCCGGGGCATGAAGAGGATCCGCTCGTAGACCCGGCACAGCCCCCGAATATCAGCCAGCTGCGGCCGGGAGGTTGTCCCAATCAGCATCACACGGTCTCCAGGAGTCAGCAGCCGCAAGGCCTTGGTGAGGTCCTTCTTTATCCGCTTTGGGTCCATCTGCTCCAGGGGAAGAGGGAGGAGTGGTGGGGCTGGGGCATGGTGGTCCAGTGTACGGGGCTCCTAAGTTCTCAGAGCCCACCTCACCCTCAGCCTCACCTCAGCCCTAGCAGGATGAGGAGGCTGCCCATCCTGCTTTGAGACAAGGAAACTAGGTGTGAGGAGTACAGGGGCATGTGCAAGGCCCCAGTGGGTGGGGTTTGGAGTGACTTGAACAAGCCTAGGCCTTCCAGCCCAGCCCCAGCTCGCGCCGCCTGCCCACATGACCTTCACGTCCACGCTCCCTCACCTCCCTGTCTTCTTTGGGGATCCTCTTATAGAAATTCTTCTCAGCATTTCCAATCCAAATCACAGAGGGCTGTAGGAGTCGGGCTACCTGGATGGGTTGAAGAGTAGAAATCAGACATTAGATGTCTCTGGAGAAGGGTCATGTCCCTGCTGGCCAGAAGCCAGGATGAAGGCTGGCATTGAGCAGGGCCTGACCTTGGAGCCCAGTCTCCACTCCCCACACCTGCCAGTCCCACCTCCCAGCCTGCTGCTGCACATACCTCACACCTCAGGGTGGGGGGCTGCATATTCAGCCTCATCCCACCATGAAAAGAAGTTGCTCTATATCCTCCCCTTTCCCTTCATTCCCCCACCACAGGGGCTGCAGGGGGAACCCAAGCTCCTAGCCCGGGTTGGTAGGGAGACCTCACCAGTTCAGCACCTGAAATCATACCCAGTAGGCTGATGGGTGACACGATCTCAAAGCCCACCCTCCTTTGTTGCCACAGGTCTTGGCACCACAAATGCCAAGAGCTGGGGGCTCCGGACCTTAAAGACTATATGCACCATCATCTGTGCCCCATTCCTGCCAGGATATTTGCCCAGCAGGTTGTCCGGTGACAGGTCGAACAGGTTGGCGCCAGTTTCTGTGCACACTGCCTTGACCAGCATCTTCTTCCCCATGCCAGAGGGGCCCACCAGGAGGATGGAGCGGATGAGTGGGGCCATGGCATGGATATCCGGGGAGCCTGAGAGCAAGGAAATGGGCCAGAGCCAGGTGTCAGGTCAGCAGCAGGAGTCAGGGCTGGAGATGACTATGTGTAAGGTCAGGCCAAGGGCCTGGGGCTGGGAGAGGAGGTGCAGATCACGGGGCATACTACCTTCCCCAATACCACCAGGTCGCCTGGTCCCCTAGGCCTGGGAGCCGGGAGTGGCAGCAGGAGAGTTTGAATGGCTTAGGAGTCTCCAGTATGAGGAGCTGTACATGGGACTGTGAGGGAGCCTGCTACCCTGACTAATGCCCTTTCTGTTTTCCCTTCATCTGCTTCCACTCCTGGATTATGAGTGGTGGAATGGAAAGGTATGGGACACGGGAGGCGGAGGTTGCCATGAGCTGAGATTGTGCCACTGCACTCCAGCCTGGGCAACAGAGTGAGACTCTATCTCAAAAAAAAAAAAAAAAAAAAAAAAAAAAAGGCAGGCACAGAATAAACCACTTCAGAAAGCTCTTCAGCTCCGGGGGTGTAGGGCTGGTGGTCTTCTGGCAGCGGGACAGACGCTGGGTTGTCCCTTGGGATTGAGTAAGGGGCTGGCAATGTGGGCTGTTCAGCAGGTCAAGGGCCCACCTGATTTCTGGGGTGGCCCAATCTGGGTGTGACCTCCAGCAGGGCCTGGGCAGGGCCCTGGGGCTTGGAGGCTCAGGCTGGACATGCCCGCCTCAGCCACCCTACCCTGACCCCAGCCCTCACCCCGAGGGTTGCCTGCCCAGAGCTGGCTCCTCACACCCCCAGGGCCTCTCACCAAGCCGAAGGACTGCATACAAAGCCACATTCTGTCGTATGTCAAACAGGGATGGCATGGGCAACTTCTTTGCCAAACTCAGAGCAGATCCAAGATAGAGGAAGTCACCTGTGGCGATAGGCAGCCACTGAGTGAGAGGCACCCTCTCCAAGTGGCAATCAGGCAACCAGCCACAGGCAAGGCGGGGCCAGTGGGTGGGGGATAGGGGAGCCTTGGCACCTGGCCACAGACTGGGAGCAGGCATTCTGGGAGGGGTCTCACCTACGTAGTCTTTCAATGCTACTGACTCACTCTTCCTTAGAAGTCCAGAAATAACAAGCTCTTCATACAGAGACTCCACAGACCTGGCAGAGGATGGCACAGGAAGACCCCCACCACCACAAGGGATGTTAGCAAGTGAGAACACAGGGAAATGGAGGCAGAGATGGGGGGCTGTTGTCATGAAGACAGGGGATCAGTGGTTCTCCTGCCTAGCATTCTGTGCTCAAAAATATCTACAGTGCCTGCAAACAGGCAGAATCAGGTATGGCACCAAATCACTGTCCTAGGAGGCAAGCCTCCCGCAGTGGGTGCTCTGTAAGAGCGGTGTGAGGGGAACAGGGGCCTCTGTGACACTCGTCAGTCTGCCCCCTGGCCAAAGATCCACCATTAGAAATCCAGTCATTTGAATTAAGCATTGCCCTCTTCTTAGAAACTACATTTAAGACGTGAGTGCTCCTGGGAGAGACAGCCATTAAATTCAAGCAGCTGACGTCAAGGTGCTTGTGTGCTCTCTTTACCAGATAAGTCAACAGGAAGGGACCACTGACGAGTCCCTTAATGCCCCAGAGTGGGAAGTCCAGGGGGAAATGGCTTTGGCAGAGACAGAGGCGGTTAAGGCAAAGGTTGGAGGGAGGATCTGGAAGTGGAGAGCAATGACCTGATTATAAACTCCATTGAGATCTCGCTCTGCATTTCATGTACAGAGCCCTTTCTTGTGCCTTTGCTTGATCCCCACAGTTATCACGTGAGTTTGGCAGGGCAGGTACTTGGTGAACAAGGTCAGGGAGTCAGAGAGGGAAAGCGACTTTCCCAAGGTCTCACAGCAGCAGAGGCAGGACCTGTCCTGGACTGGGACTTGCTCCACCACCACCACCATGCAAAGTGGGCATGACAGGCTGTGCTACCTGTTTGGGGTCAGATCTTTTTCCTTCTTTTTCCCACTTTTCTTCCCAGGTGTTTTCTGGTTGGAAACAAGCGCATAGGTCATTGTGCCCTGTTCCTTGCCTCCACTGTGTGCCCTCCCCTGCCCAGTCCCAGCCCGTCATCTTGCCTTTGGAGCCCTCAAGGGTCTTTCTTCCTCCTTGTCCACAACCAGACGGAGGTTCCTCAGCTCCTGACGCATCAGCTCATCCACCTAGGGGAGACAGCTGAGGTATGGCCGGGTGGCCTGGGGCCGGGAGGACAGGTGGGAGAGGAGCAGGCAGGCAGGGATGGGAAGGAGGGGAGGAGCCTTACAGAAGAACCCAGTGAGCCTGATGAAGGCAGCAGGGACAGCCCTTCCCACACATTTCTCTGCGTTCCTCCCTCCCTCCCAGCACCTGTTCACACCCAGTCCTAATCCTCTTCCTGTTCTCCCAGGAGCCCTGCTCTTAACAGCCTTCAACGTGCGGAGAAGCCCCCAGATGGAATTCAAGCCCAACATCCCCCCACTGAGGTCTCTGTGACCTAAACGGTTGCATAACTGCTTAGCTTCAGTTTCCCATGTGTACCAGCAGGAAAACCATGGTATTTTCCTCATGGGTTTCGTGAAAGACCACATGATTGAACACTCCTGAAGCCCACGGCATGGGTGGGACACGTCGTCAGAGGGTTCCTGAGGATGGTGGTGGTGTGTGGACACCCTGGCTCCGAGTCCCTCCCATACCCTCCACACCCCTGCTGCATCAGCCCTGGGAGAAAGCGAGACCAGGGGGAGGCAGAGGAAGGTGGGAACTGACGTGGGGAGCAGGTGGAGCTAGGACCATGCATGGAGGCAGCAAAGTCTACAGAGGATGAGCTGGGGACTGGGGTTGGGTGTTCAGGACAAGAGAGATGCAGAGAAATGGTTGGGGAGGAACCTGAATCTGGATGGAAGTGTGGGTCATGGGGGAGGGTGCAGGGTAGTGGCCTGCAGGGAAGCCCTGACCCCGCGCTCACACCTGTATCCGGATCTCCAGCTCCACCTCCTTCCTCTTCTCCTCCCGGAGGGTCTCGGAGTCATAATTCTGACTGGGGTGTATGCTTTCACACCGGTTCTTCCATGTATCTGACCGCAGAGAGTGGATGGATGTGTGAAGGTCAGAGTCCCGGGTGTATACACACATGCATGCACATGTGCACAAGCATATGCACACATACGTGCATACACAGACACATGTGTGCACACAGGTCAGGAGCCAGGCCCTGGCTGGTTACCCTGTCCCCACCCACCAGCCTGGCATTGTTTCTACCCAGATGGCAGATAGACTTGACCCCAAGGCCTGTGGCCACAGGATTCAGACCCAAACCTGTAACGCCCCCACCCAAAGAATCACACCATACCTCCCTCTCCTCATTTGGTATTGTCCCCTTTGCCTACACACCCACACTGCCACTTCATGGTCCATGTGGCAGATGCCCACTTTCTCCAGGACCCAGGGCCCCAGGTCCCACAAAGCACAGACACTCTTCCCCAGCCGTCTCCCCTCTTACTTAAGTATTCCTCATGCCCGGCACTGATCATAGGGATACATTTGGATGGCAACACTTGCAGCACCGCATCCACTTCCTAGAATATAAACATCCTTTGACCTTGACTTCATCACTTCTACCTAGCACAGACTCTGGCCCTAACCTTACCTGAACCCATCTTCCTACCACGAGTTCCCCCACACCTTGCTCCTCCCTGTCCCTCACGCCATGCATTCGGGAGGTATCTTACCCCCTTCTTGGACTTTTCTTCCTTTCCTTTCTTCTTCTTCTTCTTTTTTTCATCCTTTCCTTTTTCCTTTCTCTTCTCTTGTTCCTTTTTTTTGTTCTCTTGGACCTGCATTTCCAGTTCCATTCTCACCTGTGACCAATGACACAAGACATTTCAGAGAAGATCAAGGGGATTTTACAAAAGAGAGCCCTGGATTTTACAGAAGAGAGCTGGAGATCTCTCAGGCCCAGGGCCTGCGACCGGGGTGAACCAAGGATTCCCTAGCCTAGAGTAACTGATGGGGTCGGGACAGCTGAGCATGCAGAGACTCCACTGGGGTCCAGGGAGAAAGAGTGCCCAAGAAGGAGCATTCTGGTCAGAGCCACTGTTCTCTCCTGGCCATGGGATCTGAAGCCACTGCAGTCTACCCAGACATCCTTCCTTTCCCAGTCACAATGCCTGCTCCAGCCGCAGCTGCTCCTTGCTCCTCTTCCCCATGCCGTCTTTCTAGCTGCCTGCATTTCCCCCAGCCACCTCTGCCTCTATTGAGGCTGACCCCCTACTCCACCCTACTCACTACTCTCTGTAGCCTCAGACTCCACCTGCCACAAAAAACTGTCTGCCTCACCTCCAACAGGGTACCTGTTCTGGAGTTTTGTCTGCAAAGATTGAGTAGGATCCACCTGAAGATGCATCTGGATAATCAGGGAATCGGCCAGTAAGATCGCTAAGTGAACATAAGATGATTGAACAGAAAGATGAATAGATGGATGGATGGATGGATGGATGGATGGATGGATAGGTAGACAGAGAGGTGGGTAGAAGGTGGGTGGATGGACAGATGGATGGATAGACAGATGGAGAGGTGGGTAGAAGGGTGGGTGGGTAGATGGACAGATGCATGGGTGGATAGATGGAGATGGGTAGAAGGGTGGGTGGATGGTCAGATGGAAGGATAGACAGAGAGGTGGGTAGAAGGGTGGGTAGATGCGTGGATGGATGGATAGATGGATGGATGGATGGGGAGATGGAGAGGTGGGTAGGTGGGTGGGCGGATGGACAGATGGATAGATAGATGGAGAGGTGGGTAGAAGGGTGGGTGGGTAGATGGGCAGATGCTTGGGTAGATAGATGGAGAGGTGAGTAGAAGGGTGGGTGGATGGATGGGCAGATCGACAGATGGAAGGATAGATAGAGAAGTGGGTAGATGGGTAGATGGGTGGATGGATGGATGGGGAGATGGAGAGGTGGGTAGAAGAGTGGGTGGGTTGATGGATGGATGGATGGATGGATAGATAGATAGATGATAGATAGATAGATAGATAGATAGATAGATGATAGATAGAGAGTGAGCTGGGTAGAAGGGTGAGTGGATGGATGGATGACAGATGGATGGATAGGTAGATGGAGAGGTAGATGAAAGGGTGGGTGGATGGATGGATGACAGATGGATGGATAGGTAGATGGAGAGGTAGATAAAAGGGTGGGTGGATGGATGGATGACAGATGGATGGATAGGTAGATGGAGAGGTAGATAAAAGGGTGGGTGGATGGATGGATGACAGATGGATGGATAGGTAGATGGAGAGGTAGATAAAAGGGTGGGTGGATGGATGGATGACAGATGGATGGATAGGTAGATGGAGAGGTAGATAAAAGGGTGGGTGGATGGATGGAGAATGGCAGAGAAAAGTAAAGGACCAGGGGAGACAGAGGGAGACAGGGGAGGAATGGATTGTTACAAACAAGAGGACAGATCACTCAGGGGGCATCCATGGGTGCTTTCCCCACCCTATTCTGGCACTTTCTCTCCCTTGTGGAAATGGGAAGTCAGGTGTGGAGATGGTCCTGTACACTGGGGGCCCAAGGTTGTTGAAACCAACAGGGTTAGCAGTGTGTTGGGGACCTGGGGGTAGAGGAGAAAAGGGCCAATCTGGACTAGAAGGCAGAACCCATGTGGGGGATGGAGCAGGAGCAGCCCTGAGGGACCCTGAGTGAAGGGAATGAAGGATGAGGGTAGGGTCAGCTGAGGACACTGACTGGCACTCGATAAACCACTGTCGGATTTGCTCCTTCATCTTCTCCTTCATGTCAGGCCCCTCTGTCTCTGCCAGAGAATCATGGGCCTTCACCATTGCCGCCCGGAATTCCTCCTCCTTCTCTACCTGGCGGAGCCTCCGGACATCCTCCCAGAGGCAGGCCTGGGAGATGATGCTCAGGTGCTCTACCTGGTTGGGTGAGGGGAGCTGGGGAGTGGAAGAGAGGTTGAGGGGCTCAGGAGTGGGAGGAACCAGCATCCAGTCTGGATGCAGCCCCCAGCCTCAGGCACACATGCCTGTACCCGCTCCTTCCCCAACACGACGCTCACGCAAGGCCTCGCACACACACCCACACGGAACAACGGGCATGCCTGCATTGGAAGAAACTGTATTTGGAGCCGAATTCGTCTGTGTAAATTACTCTAATAATGAGTTTGCTAGATGCATCCGGGCTGGCCCCTGCCCGATTTCCCCAGCACACCCTCCCCTGGAGCCTCCGGCCCCAGCCCCCACCTGCACCCCCGCCCCGCGGCCGAGTTGGCAGCCGCTTTTGCAGCCACTTTCCCGCCTCATTGGCTCCCAAATGTATTTTAAATATCACTCTGCGCAGAGACAATTACTGAAAACGCTGAGCTCACACTGTTGATAGGCCCGGGCGGCCAGGCTCATTCCTCACCCACTGCTGTGCACGGACCCCTCCCTGCTGAAGCCAACCCCTGCCTCTTTCAGCCTGCTCTCATCTCCTGGGGGTCCAGCCCTCTGGCCCCTCAACCAGTCTCTGACCTCCACTCCCACACAGCAGCCCCTGGCCCCTCCTTCCTCCCAAGGCCCCAAGCCTCCAGTGGTAGCCTCCCAGCCTGCCAAGATGTCACCAGACCTGGGAAGGCTCCCTTCCCTCCCGTCCCTCCAATCCTCAGCCCAGCCCCCTCCCCAGCTCCTTCTGGCAGCCAGGCCTCACAGGATCTGCCCAGGACAAAGCCCTTCCCTCAGGGAGCATGCTCCCACCACCCCTCCAGTCTCGGCCTGCCTTTCCTAAGTCAGTGGAGATCAGCTGGGTGAGAGGACAGAGAACAGGGGATAGACAGATTCAAGGAGCCAGGCCTACTCACTTTGGCCAGGCACACATGTATGCACACAGGCACATGGCCTAGAAAGGCCTGGTTTGGGGAGTGTGTCCCTACCCCAACACAGTCCCTGGTGTGTCCCTGTGGCTACCAGAGGCTTGGGGGAGCGGTGTGGGTGCCCCTGCTGGCTTTGTGGCCTCTTCCCTCTGGGGGCCCACCCCTGTAGCCCCTCCTTCCAGCTGGGGGTGGGAACGTGGGGTCCAGGATGCTCTACACAATACCCCTCCTGGCCTCACAGGTGAGCTGCTGCCAGGGGCCAGATCTCTGCAGGAAGAAGGGTATGAAGGGATATGGCCTGGGGGCTTTCCTGTCCTTCTGCCTCTTTCTCTTCCAGGCTCTCCACCCGGCCTGAGTGGAGAGCACCGTGGGCAAAGTGGGGCTGGAAGAAGACTGTGCTCTGGGTGGGGGCCCTGCCCTGGCCAGCCCTGTGTTCCAGGCCCCACCATGGTGGGCAGGTTGAGCTCACCATGCCAATGAACTCCATCTCTGTCCGCCGGTCCTGCTGAGTGCGTTTCCTCTGCAGGTAGCCTTTCCATACCTGGTGGAGGGATGTAGGAGACACAGGGGACACACACTGTCCACCCTGCAGCAGCCTGTCTCTCAGAGAGGGTCCGAGAGGGTCACACTAGAGATTTCGGGTGGGGCGGGGAGGAGCCCTGGGGAAGTCTGCTTGGGTGCACACTGAGCAGGAACAGCCTAGAACAGGGTGGTTTCAGGTGGGCACTCAAGCCAACTGGCCCCAGGGCCCCCCAGGGATTTCTTCCTTTCCCTCGCCACCCTAATCTGCTATCTCTTTTGAGGGACAGATCAGAGCTCAAGCACCCTACACATTCCCTACACCCACTCCTCAGAATCCCCAGAGCAGCTGGAATAAATATCTGACTCCACCCAGGCACATAGACACTGGCGCTGTAGGGATTGTGGAGCTCCTCAGTTAATCCTACATTTTTGACCCAAGGGAACTGAGGCCAGAGACTGGACATGACCTCTCTCAGGCCCAAGACGCCATCTGTGCAGAGCTGGGCCCGCGCTCTTTCTCCCAGGCCCAGCCACTTTCAGACTCCAGGATCACTGAGTGCTAGTGGGACCAGAGGGTGGGGACGCTGGGCAGAGGAGGGCAGATCCAGGGCCCGGGCCAGCCAGGGCTTTCCATCTGCCTCCTGGCCCCTCCAGGAGCTGGGGCTGCTTCCTGCACTTCTCATCTGGGCTTCGTCCTCCCACTCCTGTGACCCCCACAGGCCAGGCCCGCCATGACTGGGTCCTTCATACGTTTTTTGCTTTTCTCAGTGCTCTGGATGACTCTAAGACCAGCATGCAATATTTCTGTACTCTTGATGTCTGGCAACAGGCACAAAATGACCTGCTTTGGTCTACAGGGGAAGTAGGACTCCATCTTTGGGGTCTATCCCCCTTCTTGACTTCTTTGCCTTAGTGAGCCCTGCTGTCGAGAACCTCCTTCTCAGACATTGACACAGTCATCCTGCCTCAGACCGACATGCTCAGTGTACTGATTACTAACACACGAATCTATCCCATTTGCAGATGACATATCTTCATAGAATCACTATTGTTTGCTAGCTGGTTGCCTGCTTTCGTCTTTCGGTGGGAAGTTCTAAGTTTTCTCTAGTGGGCTAGGAGGCAGAGGTTTTTGAGGTATTGGGATTTGAGAGAGAGAGGAAGGAGGGGGAGATTGATTTGAGAGAGAAAGAGGCCCACCCCAGGTCAACACTTCCTGGAAAGAAAAAGTGGCAAGAGGCTTCTGTGACAGAGCAGGGCCGGTGGCCTTAGGGGCAGCGACACCTGCATGAACAGAAAGTGGTCTGTTCCTGCACTGAAATTTTGCCGGGGCTCCTCCAGTCTCTGGTCAAGCTGTTAACCACTACCACCAGGAGTCAGCGTGTGTTAGCAGCATTTTAAGGAATGGTGGGAGAGGCCATGTTCACACACCAAGGCAGACAGCAGAGGCTGGCCCAGAGAGGTGCAGAGTGGCTGTCCAGAGCAAAGGAGAGGTGTGACAACCAGGATGGTAAGAATGCTCGGGGAACCTTAAGGCAGAGAAGGGCTTTCTGCAGTGAGGTGGGACAGGAGATAAAATTATGGAAATTATGTTATTTCCATATTAAAAGGTGACCCGGAAGGCACAGAGTTTGGGGATGCTCAGATCACATCAGTTATCAAATTAATTCATCATGATCAAGTTTCCCTCTGTCTTAGTTTCCAGGAGGCTCAGGATCCTTTCTTGTTTTAAGAGATGGGGTCTTGCTACATTGCTCAGGGCTCAAGCAATACTCCAGCCTCAGCAGGATACATTTTAGTGGCTCATTTTCAACAGTCGTAAGAGTTTCTGGAGTGATCATCTATTCTGTTCTGCTACTCTATTATGGATTTTTCTTCTTCTCTAATTTTAATGATCCTTCTGTTTCTGGGACTTTTAAGGTATCCTACTGTAAACCCTTTTGAAAATAGAGATGTAGATTAAATAATAAACAAGTAAGATATATGCTTGCTGACTGATTAAAGTACTCACTGGTTTAGAATCTAGTTGTGGGGACTGGGCATGGTGGCTCATGCCTGTAATCCCAGCACTTTGGGAGGCTGAGGTGGGTAGATCACTTGAAGTCAGGAGTTCGAGAGCGGCCTGGCCAACATGGTGAAACCCATCTCTACTAAAAATACAAAAATTAGCTGGGTATATTGTCGGAGGACTGTAGTCCTGGCTACTCAGGAGGCCGAAGCAGAAGAATCGCTTGAACCCAGGAGACAGAGGTTGCAGTGAGCTGAGATCATGCCACTGCATTCCAGCCTGGGCAACAGAGCGAGACTCCATCTCAAAAATAAATAAATAAATAAATAAATAAATAAATAAATAAATAAATAGTTGTGGGGCTACAGAATCCAAGCGCCTGCACTCCTGTGATCAATTTCTGAGCCCAGCAGGCTTCCTGAATGAGGTAACTCTACCCTGGCCCTCCTCCTGGGCACCTAGGATTACCTTCTGTATGGTGATAGCTGCTTGGCACTGACTGAACTTGTGCCATCCATCCTCCCGAATCCTCCGATCCTGCTCCTCATCTCTTCGAATCTCTCGCATGAAGGTGGCTCGAAGCCGGCCTTGCCTGGCCCGCTCTGCCTTTTGCACTAGAAGTATGGCCTCAGTCCGGTGCATTCCTATAAAGCTCTGGCCAGAGCAGGGGCAAAAGAGCAGGAGCACATGAAGGAGAGTTTATATCCAGGGTGGACTGCTGGGAGACTGGCCATCAAAGGATACACCAGGGCACCATCCTCCCAGAGTATCTGGGAGCCCAAGTCTTGTCTTGGCATTGGAGGGTTACCATGAGCACAAGAATAGCCTTGAAGGAGGCCAGGGATTACCCAAAGGGCACTCTCGTAGAGGGTAGGGAAGGGCCTCTCTGCATTCTGGAGGCTTTCAGGAGAAGGGGTATGGAAGAGTCCGGGAAGGTGTCACCCTGTTTACCTTCTGGGAGGACTCTGGCTCCAGTCTGGACAGGATCTCGGCCAGTATCAGCCGTCGCTCCCGCACGGCGGTAGACTGCTCCAACAGGAAGTATTTGGGGATTGGAACTTCCAGGTCAGCCTTTGGAGCAATGTTGGGGGAGGAGGGTCAGGAATCAAAAGTCTGAGCCATCTGGCCAATCCATTACCATTTTCAGGGGCTTACACACCCCCAGCACTGTTTTCGTCCATTTTAGAGTCCTGAGGTGGGAAACTTAAATGGGACAGATGCCCCCAAAAGTCATTCCTCTCTTCTTCTGCCCCCATCCTCTGGCTGGAGTTGAATTCTGGAGGATAGTGGTAGGTGGCAGTGGTCTCAAACCTGGTTGTGCATCAGAATCAACTGGGAAGCTCTTAAATGCAGATTCCTAGGTCCTCCCCAGACTACTACATCAGAATGGCAGGGCCTGGGGAATCTTCCCCATGGCCGCCCGCCCCACCAAGCGCACTGCTGCAGCTGGTTGGGGAAACTTTGAGATAGTCTTGGATATGAAGCAGTTACTGAACCCTGAGCCTGACTGCAGGCCCTGCAGAAGCTCTGTGTTCTAGAACAGCCTTCTAGAACTTGCCCGTGCACACAGATCACTGGAGGGTCTTGATAAAATGCAGGTGCAGATTTAGCGGGTTAAGGATACTTCTCATTTGTGATGTCAACGCAGCTGGTCCAGGGACCACACTTTGAGGAGGCTCTAGAGGACTCTCCTCACCAATTCCCTGCGGTTTGTGGGTCTTCCCAGTCATGCAGGGGACCTCATCCTGACTCCATCCAACCCCTAAGTACCTCCATGCACAACCCCCACCGCCAAGCTTCCTGAAGCCCTTCCCACAAGGCCAAACTCCATCCTCTGATCTTCTCTGCCCTCCTTCCTTCCCTAGCAGGTGTCCCAACACCAGGGATATCCGTGGGGTGACGGGTAGGCAGGGGGTGGTCGGCCCCATCCCTACCCCACCCGACTCCAAGCTGGCCGGGGCATGCCTCTGTGTCCCAGGTGGTCAAGGCGGGTCCCACCCCGCCTCTCCCCTACTGCTAGCTGGCTGGGGGCGTGGCTTCGCGGCTGCGCACACGTACCGGGGTGAGCTTGAGATCCTGCAGCACGCGGTCCAGGCAGGGGTTTTCACAGAGGTCGGCGCGCACCAGCTCGTCCTTGAGCTCCAGCACGCGGCCCGCCACGCCGTCCAGCAGGCGCCGCAGCAGCCGCCGCTTCTGCGGCTGCACCATCTGGTCATAGACGGTGTTGAAGCGGCGCAGCAGCCCCAGGTAGTGCAGGTAGAGCGACGCGAGCCTGTACTGGAAGGACTGCCGCTCCCGATCGGGCACAGGTTCGAGCAGAGGCTGCTCTTGGTCCAGCAGCTCCTGCAGGGTCACGTGGGAGGACTCCCAGAGGCGCTGGTAAGCTCTGGAGAGAGGGTGGCGGGTGCCGCGTGCTCTGAGCCGCGGAGGAGTGGGGAGATGGAGCCTCCTGGCCTTTTGAGGAGTGTGGGCTCGGGGTACCAGAAGGTGTGATACCACTCATGGCTCCGAAATGGACTTCAATGAGGTAAGGAGCCCGCAGGGCAATGAGTGGACACTGACCTGGTCTTAGGGAGAGTGTGGGATTGGGCTCCGCTGTAGGATTAGCAGAGAGAATGGGCATGACCTTTGGGGGGTTGGGGGAAAGCCGGCCCAGGCTTGAGGCTCCGGTAAGGAAGGGGTCTTCGGGAGTCAGGGGCAGTGGGGCCCGCCAGGTGTGGGGCAGCCCCGGATGCGGCAGTGATCTGGGCTGGTGGGTGGGAAGTGGGGGTGAGGGATGAATGTGGAGGAGGGTCCCTTCCTCAGAGCAGAGCCCTGCTTCTGGAATTAACTGTCGGAGGGAAGTTTCCACCGTGAAAGCTGCCAGGGCAGCAGCAGCAGCTGGAGCGGCCCAGCGCCCAAACTGCCACTCTGCCCCAGCCTCTCAGGACCAAGGAGGTGCTCTGACCTTTGCTCTCTCTGCCCTGGGAGCCCCACTCCAGCCCCTCACTCACCCCTCAGACATTGTGCCCACTCCTCCACGCTGCCCCTTGTTTGCTGGTGGTGGAATTCACAGAACTTCTGTGGCTCCCTGACTCCCAGGGCCACAGGGCAGAACAGCCTGGTTTGAAGAGTTCTGACCCATTGTGCCAGTGTTCTAGGGCTGAGGAGAGGGGACTGGTGGCGCAGAATGGGCACATTATCTCGGAGGACATCCTGGAAGCAGCACGCTGAAGGGACTGTGGGTGGGTGGCTTCAGGCTCCCACAGAGTAAGCTTTGGAAGCTTAGGGCAGAACATGTTGTCCAACTTTGGCCATTTTTCTTATAAGGAACAAGTGAAATAAGTCTCTATTTGAAGTCTCCTAAAAGCTTTGGCACTCTGAAAACATCCGTCCTAAAGACATTACCCCCCAACAAGGCATCACCGCAGCTTCTCACTCGGAGCGGCCTGTTCCCTCTGTCCACCCACGCCTCCTGAGCCCCACAGCCCTCCACTCTCTGGATGATGGCACGGGGAGGCCCGTGTGGTAGAGGGGAAAAGCACTGATTTGGAATCAGAAGGCCCTGAAGGCCCAGTTGCCCCCTTGGGTGAAAGTGAGCATAACCATGCTTGCCTCCTTGGGGCCTGCCAAGAGTTCACACCATTCCCATGAGCCAGACCCACGTGAAGGATCATGCTAGAAAGCATAGTGGATGCTGTTCTGCATGCTTGGGGCTCACTTGGTCACCTGTGGGTACTGCCTCCCATCACTGCTACAAGTTCAGGAGACAATTTTTCCAAAAAGACAAAATATTATACCACTAGTAGCCTGAGGCTGTCAGCTGGGGTGAGCTTTTTAGCTCAGTGTCATGTCGAGACTTATGAATAAGTAAATCTACGAGGAACAGGGCCAGGGAAAGGGATAGAAGGGAGACAGCAGCAAAGAGAAGCAAATAGGAGGACTCTTAACTTGAAGGTGCCTACGAGCTACCTGAGGGTCTCATTACAATTCAGATTCCGGGCTGGGCACAGTGGCTCATGCCTGTAATACCGGCACTTTGGGAGGCCAGGGCAGGTGGATCTCCTGAGGTTGGGAGTTCAAGACCAGCCTGGTCAACATGGTGAAACCCCATCTCTACTAAAAATGTAAAAATTAGCCAGGCATGGTGGCACATGCCTGTAATCCCAGCTATTCAGGAGGCTGAGGCAGGAGAAAAACTTGAACCCGGGATGGGGAGAGGTTGCAGTGAATGGAGATGGCACCACTGCACTCCAGCCTGGGCAACAGAGTGAAACTGTCTCAAAAATAGGTAGGTAGATAGATAGATAGATAGATAGATAGATAGATAGATAGATAAACAGGTTCTGCTCCAGATCTGAGGGGGTACCCAAGAGCTTGCCTTTCTAACAAGCTTCCAGCTGCTTTGGCTCCTGCTGGCCCAGGTCATGCCTGGCAGGGCAAGGTATGAACGCAGGGCAGAGTGGGCAGGAGTGAAACTTCGGGGCCAGATCTCCTGGGCCTGCCCCTTGCTAGCTGTGGATGTAAATGAGGATCATTAGTCCTCAGCTCACAGAGCCTTGAGGTGAGGCTTGAGGTATGAGAAAATACACGTGACCTAGGTAGCTGCCGCTGAACGCCAGCTATCACTATAAGGCGATGCCTTTTCAATACATGGAGATGAAGGCGACCACAAGCTAGGTCTGTCCAATTACAAAGGGAACAAAGAAGGATTGGAGGTTTGTCTAAATCCCTCCCCTTCATCCTGTCCAAACTTGGAAGAGGATTTATGGGTCATGTGCCCACAAGATAAGCAGAGGCTGCATGAGACAGGAAAAGCAGTGGTTAAGTGGTGAGCAGTAAATCTAGGTAAGGATATAGGAGTGGCCGTGGTACTTCTTGCAGTTTTTCTGTGGGTTTCAAATTTTTCCAAATAAAATTGGGAAAGTTAGGAGTTTCAAAAACATCCCCACTGATTTGTACTGAAATAAAGGGGAAACTGAAAAATCATACTGATCTCAGCAGGTTATTTAGAAGCTGGTCTGGGCCTTCAGTTTTTTATCTTGAATAGATCTGTGCAGCCCCTTCAAACAATAGTGTCTGTCGTCTAGGACGCAATGACAGTTGGTGGGAAATGACATGGGGAAGCCACAGCCTGAAAGAGGACCACACAGGAGGAATTTCAGGCCCAGAGAGGGAATCAGCTGGCAGTAAATCCAGATGCTAGTCCAGTCCCAGGTCCTATTTCAGCTCACTACCAAATAGAACATTCACATGTTTACAAAGCTATCAGACGTTGCTCACGGGATACACCTAGAAAGCAGTTTCTAAGACATCTGAAGAAGTGCTGCTCCACCTGTGGTAGCCTCGAAGTGAGGACACCCTTGCTTCAGACCACACCCTGGCCTCACACACCCTTCTTTCAAATCACCACAGTGCACAGAAACAGTTCAGCCTTTATTTTTGTCAGACCCTGGGTCACTTGGAGCTGGTGTACTTGGTGACAGCCTTGGTGCCCTCGGACACAGCGTGCTTGGCCAGCTCCCCAGGCAGCAGCAGACGCACGGCTGTCTGGACTTCTCGGGATGTCAGGGTGGTCCGGCCCGAGTACTGGGCCAGCCGGGCAGCCTCACACGCCAGCCGCTCAAACACATCGTTTACAAACGAGTTCATGATGCTCATGGCCTTGGCAGAGATGCCGATGTCAGGGTGCACCTGGAGAGAGGGCAGCACCACTCGGTTAATGGAAGGGGCTGGGGGAGGGGGGGTCCTGCCTACACTGCAAGCCTCACCCCTGAGCTGGGGTTCTAGGAAGCTAGAGGCAGAAGACAGGGAGGCTCCTCACCAGCCCCTTCCCAGAGGCCAACAGTCATGGAAATAGGGATTTGTGTTTTCTTTGTACTACTATGGTATATCCAAGTTTTTTAAAAGAAGTTTTCAACTGCAAGAGGTAACATGATTAAGTTCCTTGTATGATCATGCACAAGAATCTATATTTAACAAATGGAACCAGTTACACATGCATCTTGCTGGTTTCATTGATGCATTTGCATAATGTTCCATGGTATGGATGTATCATACTTCCTATCACCATTCCTCTCTTCATGAACCTTCCGGGTTTGGGTTTGGGTTTGGGGTGTTTTTTGTTGTTTTTGCCATTAGATGGTGCTATGGTAAATGTCCATCTTTGAATCTTGTGTGAGCATAGGGAAGGTTATTTCCAGAGGTGGGACTGTGGGGTCAAAAGGTTTGTGCACGTAACTTGGTGGAGCACATAACCAGTGGACATGTGCATGTGACAGTGGCAGCCCCGAACCAGGAGGGAGGAGTCCTGTTCTGTGGCTGTATTGTGAATTGCTATGACCTCAAATATGGCCCTTTTCTCTGGGCCTCGGTTTCCTCTTCTGTCACACAAGCTTTTGAACTAAGTGATCTCTAGTAAAGCAATGGGACCTGACAGCAGTCCTGAAACGTGAGTAGGTAGACCTGGTCAGATGTGAAGTGGGAGAGAAGTGACTGTCCCACAACCTACATGGAGTCAGAGATGGAGACAGCACTAGAACCAACAGGCTCTGTCCCACCCACCCTCCCTGCCACCTCTGATCTCGACTGCCAACAGCAAATCTGCGCCTGGCACAAGGCTGGTTCTGCCCAAACCCCCTCTGCTGTCAGCACACCCCATTCTCCTTAGGGCTCTCACCCACATCGGGAGGTCGAGGGGTTATCCCTCAGCAGCACTCTCCTCTGCGGGTCCAGGCCTGGCCTCACCCATCAGTTGCAATTTGTGCCCCTCAAGTCAGACTAAGACACAGGACTCAGTGATACTCACTCCTACCCTACTTTCTTCAGGGCACCGGAGTCTGTCCTCTGGTGCATCTCTTCAGCCAACCCATATCAGTGCTGGACCCACTCACCCCCAACCCTACAAGAGCATTCCCAGGCACCCAGGTTGTCAATTCACTAAAACTGCTAATGGGATTTGGACTGGAGACAGGCATTACCTCTGGGGCCTGCCCTAACAGAGGGGTAAGAGTTTCAAGCAGGTTGGAGACCCAGGGTGGGCAACACATGGCTACCCCCGCTTCCTCCTGGCCTTGGCCCTGCTGAGCAGTGGCTTTGGATCCTCCAGACAAACTGATTGTCAGTGTTCCAAGTGGCTTTTCATGCATGAATATAGGGCACCTGCAGCCTCAGTGTGTTGGGGAGAGGGACACACAGGAAGGATGCTAGAGGCTTGCCCAAAGCCTGGGGAGCTGGGACACTGCCACTGTCAGGCCACATGATGCAGGAACGCCATGGAGCCTTTAGGGGCCTCAAGCTCTTTTGTCTGTAACGTGGACAAACCCTAAGCCCCTCAAAGAACTGAGTGCCACTTGTCCAGAAGACCTTCCCCAAGACTCCAGTTCACCCTGAACACTCCTCTCCTCAGTCACCACCAACACACTTTGTATCATAATGTGTTTGGCACCCGATCACCTTCAGCCTGGCACAGAAAGTGTGGTCCTCTTGTCTTTTAATTATGTCCCACCTGGGCCGGGTGCGGTGGCTCACGTCTGTAATCCCAACACTTTGGGAGGCCAAGGCAGGTGGATCACAAGGTCAGGAGGTCAAGACCATCCTGGCTAACACGACGAAACCCCGTCTCTACTAAAAATACAAAAAATTAGCCGGGCGAGGTGGCGGGCACCTGTAGTCCCAGCTACTCGGGAGGCTGAGGCAGGAGAATGGCATGAACCCGGGAGGTGGAGGTTGCAGTGAGCTGAGATCGTGCCACTGCACTCCAGCCTGGGCGACAGAGCGAGATTCCGTCTCAAAAAAAAAAAAAAAAAAAAAAAAATATGTCCCACCTAATCATATTATCTCATCATCATTCCCGTAAACTTCTGGAGTGTGTCAGGGAGCACACTGTCTCCTATCACCGGTGCCGAAGATCCTGAGAGGTAGAGACCTTGGAAATCAGGTCCCGCCACCTCAAGAGGGGCCCAGCCTGCCTGAGCCACTTGCCCCAATGCCAACACTAACCTCAGGGTCCCCGCTTCCAGCCAGTTCCCTTTCAAGGCGCTTTGCAAGGGCATCCCCCACACACATCCTTGCTCTGCACTCACCTGCTTCAGCACCTTGTAGATATACA